ATTGGTCATCGGCGACGTGTCATTGGTATCGAACAAAGCCACGCCGACACTAATTTTGCGCAGACCACCAGAGCACCCGGAACATCCAGAACTTAATGAACATAATATTTCCTGCCGACCGAGCATACTGAACGCACTCGAGCCTGATGGAATCCGAGATTGGACACGCTTGTCTCTGATCGATTCGAAATAAATATAAGTGCGTTCGACTTTTTGTTTATTTTTCTGTGCTAGAATTCGCCTGTATTAAATTAATCTACTATGTCATCTTTTGTAGATCTTTAAACGTAAATGTCTGTATCGTAGATGTCGTCTGTAAAGTAGAATATATTGGAATTCTTTGAAATTGAAAGAAATAAAATATAAAGTAATTTTGCATGTCTTGAAAATGGCCAGCAAACGATAATAACTTTCATATAAGATTGCCCTTATAATCAAAGCTGCTAATCTACATTTTAAATAATGTACGAGTATATCGTGATGTACAGATTAACACGTCGACAGAATTCTGCAATACAAACGATCCTGTAATTGAATTTTCGCACTTTCGATACACCGTGTGTAAGCTCTGTAAATTATATTGAAAGCAGACACGGTCAAAGGAAGCAGAAACACAGAAAACGGGTTTACTTGCATGTTTGCTTTGCCTGAAACACACGTAGGCGCATTGTACACGTGTTTCAAACTCTGTGAACACGAGTAGATCAATGCCGCTCTGTATGTTGATTTAACTATCTAACCCTAACAACTTGGTCTGTAACTATTGCTCAACTCCAGATTCCATGGTGCATTTCCGTCGAATGTGGTGAGATGCCATCCGGTTAAATGTACAGAGAGAAAAGCTGCTACCATAACCCAAAGCCAAGAGTAGACTATGTAATAATTACGAGTACATGTACATTTCAATTGAAATTTTGCTGTATGATTATTAGAATCGGCTCTGTAGTTCCAGAGATTACCCTCTACATACAAACAAATTTTCCCTCTTAATAGTATTAGGATAGATTTAAAATTGGCCTGAAGGAAATCAAAATATACTTATCAATTCCAATTCATAAATTCCTACAAAATATAAATTTTCTCAAAATCTATCTCAAACATTTCAAACCCCATCTATTTACACATACGTTAGTTGGTTTTAATTGAGAGCACGAACACCACTTTTCGCAAAACACGTGTTGGCGATTGCGTAACGCATCCCCCCGTGCTTTTACCCTGATAGGGATAGAAGCAAGGTTGTTTCGACAGGGTCGTGAGCAGATAAACGAAACAGCAGAGTGCAACATATTCTGACCGTCCCTGAAAATGTGTTTACAGCATGTTAGGCGGTCGATCATGCGTCACTGATGCGCTGGGGCGCCAGGGACTCCGTTCTTTGACGTTCCATTATGCAAAATCGTCTTCCTCGTCGTTTCCGAGGCCAAATGCCGCGCGACACGTGGTCGATTTCACGTGAATTCGTACCGATGATACACGGGTCGCGACAGAATCATGGACGCAACAACCCTGAACGACGAATGGAACAACGAAATTTTAGTGGGAACGCATAAAGGGTGCGTTATGCATCGTGCTGCAAGTCTGCGACCATAAATGATGACGCTGATAGAAACAGTAGTGAACGATTTTGGAGGAGGCAGGATCACACCTTTTCAACGCTACGTTTAAATAAGATAATAAATTATATAACTGTACAGTGGAAGAACACAACTGAAGATGTGATAAAAGGTGGAAAACTTTTAAATATCAACGGGAGCAATTCGTGGCACATACGAAAACAAATGATTCTTCGTCCAAACAAAAAAAATGAAGGAAATATATTAAAGAAGAAATTCTCTCAGATAGGGGCTCCATTTGAAAGAAAGAAATATAAAAAATCAAGTATTCTGCAAATTATTGATAAAACATCATTCGTCAGGTTTCGAAGAATTTATACTCACAACCGACAACAACATGGTGGGAAAGTTATTAAAAAAGTCGTTGAAGTAGATAGCGCACATGTCGAAAGAATTGTGATCTTAACTTCGAAACAAATGTATGAAATATAAAAATTCAAACACTAAACTAAAAATAAGTGTAGGTTAAAATACACCACCCTATACGTACCATATTTTGATTTTCTTTTTCGGGTTCATTTAAACGGAAAACTTTTCAAGAGGAACATGTATTAGGTTGTCCCAAAGGTTTCTTTCGCTTTATTAATAAGTAATACATGCACAATAATTTATGTTTTATGTTACATTACTGAATTGTGCACGAATATATATGAAATTAGATTGTCTATTTATATAAACACGACCACATAAAATAATTGAGTGCAACTCGCGAAAGAAACTTTCGGGACAACCTAATACTTCCAGACGTGTCTCTGGACGGTAAAGATAAAAATCCATATATTTATTTTATGCGAGATAAACGCATAAATATTAATTAATCCCCATGAAAATTGGTAATGGTAAGATAAAAATATGTTTGTAATTTTGCTATAATTTTCATATAATTAACTGTACATGCAACAATGATTATTTCTCAAAGTCTTGTTATGTCTTCGTCGATATCTCGTCAAAGATAGTCTCCAAATACTAGTGCACGCGTAACGAGCTTGAAAGAAGATAAGTTCGCCGTACGACGCGAAATTTCAGTCGCGGTAACAAATTTAGCACGGTATATCAGTGAAATTGGTGTTCTTCGGTGTTTATTATCATTGCAATACGATGCACGGTATTCTTTTCGTAGAAAAGAGAGGACGTTGGCGGGGGAGGGAAGAAGAGAGAGGCCGTAGATATCAGGGCAGAAGAGCAAGGCGAACGTATAGAAGGCTCGAGAAATCGTAGTGGTACTCGCCAGAGAGAGCTGCAGGATGACGGATGGAGGGCAGGAAACGACACAGGAACCGGAACCCATTACTCGAGATAACAACTTCCCTAAGGCTTCCTTTCCTTCTTCTACATCCACTACCCCGCAAACCCGATACGCACACACAAGTGTGGTCGCGCGAACCCCCAGCAATCCGTACGGTAGCAAGTACGAATCCGGAAATTTACCACTTCTGTCGTTATTTTACTCGAATACCAGCCGCGCAACTGGTGGCCCACCGCAATATACCATCATAAGCGCTAGGCGAAGAAAACCTTGACCGCTTCTACTAGAACGAAAACTGAACATCGTCGTGCCACCTACACGCTGTTGAACACGCTAGGGGAACGATCGCAATTGAAAGTCAGTCGAGTGAATCGAACACTGGAACAATAGACTTTGGATTGTAATGGATGGTATTGCACAAATCAACCCTTTGCACTCGGGGACACCTCTGGAAGTACGTGTTCCTCTTGAAAAGTTTTCCGTTTGAATGGACACGAAAAAGAAGATCAAAATATGGCGTGTATAGGGTGCTGTGTGTAACTTGCACGCATTGATTAACTGAAAATGTTTGGTGATCACGTTTCTAATATTGTTGATGAAGGGAAAAAGATGAATTGAATACTGTGCGTTTAAACAGTACTTTCCTAAGTAGCACGTAGAAGTTCCAAACTTTGTATACAAAAATTGCATTATTAGGAGACCTATATACACTGCATAATATTCCCTTTATGCGTGTAGATCGTTTTAACCCTTTGGATACCAAGAAACGATATATCGCTCCTCAATAAAGTTGCAAAAATGACTCATTACAAAATCAATTTTGCTTTACGAAAATAACGTTCGATATCTAATGCACACAGATTTATTTCTGCACTTCAATTTTATTTCAAATACCGTGATGTTACAGTGTGTGTAAAAAATGTTGGAGTTCCTTGAAAAGGGTGGTTCGGGAGATGATTTGAAGCAACTTTTTCCTTAGCGACAATATTGTCCGGGGTTTCATTCTGGAGATATTAACAGAAAACCCCGACCAATCAGAACGCGAGTAATTTTGTTCCTTACGTGTACTACAGAGCACTCAAGCGATGCCATTGAAAGAGGACAGCACCGAAAGAAAAGGAGATAGGGGTAACTAAAGAGAAAGGGTGACCTGAAAATCGAGTTTCATCAGTATTTTCAGAATCGTTAGATAACGTCGCGTAAGGATTAGCGATATCGCACTTTACACGAATCAATTGGGTGGTGCAGACGGACATGCGAAGCGTGAAGAGGAGATTCAGGTTGAAATGGAAATGGGCGTCGTGGTGGTAGGGAAACCACCGACGCCGCCACCGTTGCTAAATGGGCTCCGAGCGGGTTACCCAACTGTTGCGCCTTCATCAGAAATTTATGCAGAATCCTGGGTTAACCGTCCCGGCCAATCAGCTTTGTAACTGAGCTAACGTCGTATCAGCGAGGGAACGAAACCGAGAGAGCCCCTGATTTAGTAAAAAGGCTTTTAATATTTTGCACCTTTGGTACCTTGACACGCGCTCAATTTTAACGCACCGCCGGCAAAACTTAACACCTTCGACCATGTCCCTGCCAACGTCCCAACTTTTGAATATCGAGCTACGATGCAGGGAGCTACGATGCATCTGACATGCTGGTCTCTAGTTTATGGAAATATTCTGATTTTCAGCAGATCAAGTTGGAGTTTGAAGCACGATTGTTCTAAGGAATTCTTTCTTTTATATTCATAAAAGGGTTCTAAAAAATAAACAGCTCCGCTGGACTCGACCAGATTAAATACCATTCGATTCCTTAAAAATACTGTTCATTCGATGGATACGGTACAAATATGATACTTACACTGGATTATTTTATTTTAATAAATTATATTTTCTGCGACATAAATCTAATGTCTGGCAGTATAAACTAAAACATTGAAAAGAGGTTGTATATGCAGTAATGACCATAGAAATTAGTCCACTCTTTAAAAAGTGTATTATTTAATAAATAATACTTTCGGCAACATAAATCAAATATCCAACAGCATAGACAGCTGCTGTTCACGTTGAAGTTAATCCAAACAGTATTTTCGAAATGGTGTCGTTTCTATGGCCGCGACTGCATGTAAAAACGAAAGTTGTTCGACTTACCAACAAGAGCCAGGATCACTGTGAGCAGGGATGCAGCCGGAAACGATATCGGTAAACTGAACTCCAGCATATGGAGCATGTCCACTGAAACAAAGTGAAAAGAAGTACATTTCACACGAAAAATCGATGAGAATATTAGCGCGAGCGGCACTCGTTTCATTCAGATCGTCTAGGGTTCGGGCGCAACGAGGTGTTTAAGAGACTCATCAAAATGCACTTTATATTCCGTTCTCTAAATGCACGACGACGGGATATTGTATCGAAATCGTTATGCTGGACGACGAACGGTTCGAATTTAATATTTATTAGATACTCCGTGACGAAAAGTTTCTGAGCGGAAACTTATTACACAAGTTGAGGGCCCGTGAAGAAATCGTGTCGCGTTCGACGACTCGGTTCAAAGCTCAATAAGAATTAATTTCAAAACTTCCTCGATCTCGATTTAAGTTTTGGCGAACTTTCGATCGGTGCCTTGAGACGGTAGACAAGGTTTCGCTTTTCTTAGCGCGCCTAATCTATATACAACTTTTCATTGTTTTATTCAATTCGTCCCTTTATGGCCGCTTCATGCAGGACACTAATTATTGCTTAATTACTTAAGGTTTATGCTGACACCTTCAGTTTGCGTTGTTCTTTTCATCGACGAAACTGTTAAATGTCGATACTCGAACTGGAATACTTGAAAACGGTGTCTATCGTACCTAATTTTGAAAAATTCAAGTTTAGAGTATGGTGTTGAATGAAACTTTAAATGCATATATTGACTGTGAATTTATAAATAAATAAAAAATTAGTCTCTGTTTAGGATGAACCTTGGTCAGCTTTAATAGCCTAAAAATAACCTCATTTTGTTAAATATAAACTTACGTTATCCATGGTGAATTATCCCAAGCTACACGTACATGCAAAATTTCTTTCAATTTTCTATTTCAGATGGCCACAACGACCTAAGTGTACATTTTATACACTATTTTTAAATAATAAGTATTATGAACATTATAAAATTTCATAAATATTCATAATGTACAAAAAGTCAAAATAAACATATGGCCTAAATTGAATATTTCTATATATATCAGTTTTTCTTCCAAACCCTTTTCCAAATTCTTTTACTTGCAGTATTCTATTTCTCAAAACCTCTTAAAATATTTGCTTTACGTTTCAAATATATTTTCACGGAAATTAAAAATTCGTTACAATGTATGAAAGACGGTGACGTTACAACGTAATTGAAGCTTTCAGCGGGTCGTTTGAGTTTTGTATTAAAAAAAAAAGGTAAGTCTCTGGGTCAGTGGTAACGAAGGTGCGGCGCCGAGTGCTTAATTCTTCGGGGGACGACTGAAACTTTCATGGGGGTGCTTTCTTCTATAACTTAATTGAAGCGCAGCGATGTAATTAAGAAGTTCAGCTATTCCCAAACGACGACGCATGTCGTCTCTTCTTTATAGTAACCCAAGTATCGCTGCTTACAAATTTCCGCCACAACCTTGGTGTTACAATTTAATGAATTTTAGATTTTAAGATGTCACCCACTAAAGCCACTCCCGCTGCTTATTAAAACTCCTGACTCCTCCATCTTGCGCCACGTAATCTGAACTCCGCCTTGCTACCGTACCATCAAATTATTTTTCCGTTGTGTCCGCGGACAAGTGAACACGCAAGAACCACGAACATTCCTCGCAAACGTTCCTGACAAACGTCGCTTTCTTGCTTGCTCGCGTCGTAAACGGAGATCCTTCAACATTTCGGTCACTAGGCTTTACGAAATATATTCCGAAATGAATTGCTACAAGCTGTTTCCTTCGAAACTACTCCAAATATTCCGAACTAGATACCAGTACAATTTTCTTTTAATTAAATTGAGACATGGCAGTCAATGATTTGATTTGTAATAAATTGTGGCTGGTAGGGTGTCCATCTTATTAAGGCATTGCAATCGACAACAATTTCTATATTATTTTGATCGTAAAGAAATTTGTTGTTGAAGATAAATGGAAAGAAAGGGCTCGATGTAACGAAAACAGACTGCCAGAGATAAACATGAATAAAAGGTAGAAAATGAGGCAAACTTCGACAGTTCTGGAACTGCCTAAAACATCCGAACCAACCTACTGGTGGAAGGAGAAAATAAGAGTTACCCTGCGGTGTTTTGCTATGCAAATTTGTATTTCAAACGATTAACCTGAGAAAATAGCCCATCGTACATCAGCTAGTTTAAACATTCAAATTGTTCTATTGCTGTTAACTTTTTTCATCTAACTTTAATATCTTTTGGCAAATGTAGCCCCAAAACCTTGTTCGTATCTTTTTATGAGACCTGTTGAATCCGAGTTACTATTGTAATCCACGAAACCAAATATCTATACGTTCGCGATTATTATACACTGTAATCTTTGTCTAGTAGTGTTCGTTTAGAGCTGCTAGACAATAGTATTTCAATACATGGATTATGAAGATTTCATATCAGATTTCTATCAATGAAGCAATGAAGTAAAATAAAAGTAAACCTAGTGCTAAATGTGCAAGTACAATTATAAAAAACGAGTAATCGTAAATTCGAGAAAAATAAGGAAGCAACTGATATACTGTAATCATGCAGGAGAAAAAAAATGTGTACCGCGGAAGAGATAAACGTCGTGTTATGACATGAATACATGTTTCGCACGTAAACAAAATTAATACTGCATGCGTGCGATTAGATAAGCCAGTTTGGAGTTACGAGTATATTTTTCTTAGGGATAATGTTATTATTGTAATGCGAATAATCTATTAATGTATTAAATACAAAGTCACGTCAATATACTTCAAGAACAACAGTATGTATTTCTTTTTATAAAACATTTTATAGAAATTTATATCTTTATACAAACGACACACGTATCCTTTTCGTTAGTATGCGATGGATGGTCGAATAAATAACGGGCTACTTGTAAAACAAATTTATTCAATAACAATAGTGTCACCAGTGTTGACAACGAGTGGTACTATATTATGGTATTGTCTCTTAATACTTCTTAAATACTGAATCACAATATACTATACAATGGCAACAGATTGACTCACTGATTTATTCAAATGAAACTATCACGTGGACCATGTGTATAGTTTTGTTTTGTACTGAAATTATGGAAACTGGATAACAGATTGTAAAGATGATAACATTCTCGCTTATCAAAATAAGATTGATTCATCTTAAAGGAAGTATGAAAAATTTGTTACAAGTCCCTGAACATTTATCCTTCTTATTGGCAAGATTTATAAATCCTTCCAAGTAAAAATTCCCAACTACTTTTATATCCCATTGATTAGACATGCTTTAATAGATTTATAAATTATATAAGGCCCAAGCGAGGCAGGTTTTATCTTTGAATTTCGAAAGGAGCCGTTATTGTGAAAAATGTGATAACATTATATGATAAAAAATGAAGGGTATTACCCTAAATTTAATCATTACCAGGTGTATGCACGAGTTTTGTAGGTTTTTGTGCTAAATTACTTTATCAATCAAATGAAATCTATATATACATTTTAAAGAAATTAAAAATGATGTTATATTTATCGTCATTCATTCGTTCGAATGCAGGTCGGCCAATGATATCAACACCAAAAACAGTATCAAAACGTAACCTACAAAACTTACCCATACATGCAAATAATAAATATTACACTTGCAAATTCAACAAACATCCTTACGAAACTCTTTCATACGAATAATTATCTAAACATTCCTTTTTTCTAGTCCAACCCAGAACCCGTCATCAGAGAGCAGCGAAAAATGTGCTTTGCTAAATGTGACCGGATGTTTGGTTTTTTCGGTGGGGTGCAAGCGGAACCTGTGCAACAGATGAGCAATCAGAATTTTTGTTTCCATTAGAGCAAAACGATTGCCAATGCACTTTCGAGGCCCGAAACCAAACGGCATATACGTATACGGTTGAATACTATCAATATTTTTTCTGCTGAATCGTTCAGGGTCGAACTTCTCCGGATCAGGGAAATAATTGGGATCGTGATGGATCGCGTAAACAGGAAACCAAACAACATCGGTGGGACGCACGATCACGCCGTCGTATCCAGGCCCAGCTGAAGGCAATTCGAACTTCTCCGCGCATAATCTGTCGATGAACACCACCGGAGGATACTTCCTGAGCGTTTCCGACGTCACCATCTCCATGTACTCCATTTTCGACAGAGCCTCGTAAGAGATGTCCCCGTTCCCTTCGGCCATGTAGCGTTCGACTTCCTCGCGTAGCTTCTCCTGAATATCCTGATTCACAGTCAATTCGTGGACTAAATAACACATCAAGGTCGACGACGTATCGAAGCCAGCCAAGAAGAAGATGAATACTTGGGCTATTATGTCCTCGATGGTCATCCGATGCGTCGAAGACTTCTCTTTATCCCGTGCCTGCATCAGAAGGTGGATCATGTCCGGTCTAACGATGTTCTCTTTGTCCCTCGTCTTCACAGTTTCGGAGACAATTCTGTAGAAGAAACTAGCCGAGTCGGGCGATAGGAACGAGAGTCCCATCAGTCTCGATAAACAGGGACTGAAACGGAACAACATGAACTTCAAAAGACGCCCTAAACCTCCGAACTTGGTGGCATCGGTCCCTCTCGTGAAGAATTCGTTTTCACGATCCTCCAAAGAATTCACGCTGATACCGAACGCCGCGGTGGCGATCACGTCGTTGGTGTACCTAGTGAAGGCGTCCTTAGTTTCCATCGAGGAAGAGAACTCTGGATGATCGTACAGGTAGCCGACGAATTCCTTCGAGCATTTCGACACCAAACTGAACATGAACTTCATCTTGCTAGTAGTGAAAGACGGGCTGAGAGTGTTTCTCATCACTCTCCAGCGATCGCCACGCAAGGAAAATATATTTCTCCCAAAAATAGGATCTACCTCCTCGCTGACGAAGCCCAAATGATCGGGGAAGTGCTCGAAACTCTTTACGGATATTTCCTTGATCAGTTCCGGGTCCCGAATGACGACCGTTGGCGTGGCGAAATCCATTATCCCGACGTACTTTACGTTCGGGTAATAGTGATAAATGAATTTTGCGTAGTCTGGAAAGGACATGAGACGGCTGAAAACTCTCCATCCCGTTCCGAATACTGGCATCGACCAAATATAGGGCACGCGTCGATTCCTCCAATGTGTCAGTTGTCGATGCAATATCGAGACGAATTTCGCCAAGCTAATGGTAACTATGGCGGTCACTAAGAGTTTGAACGAAAAGGAGACCGAAGACAACTCCATCATTGCGAGGATGGGTACAAACACGACTCTGTCTGATGACTAGAAGGAATGTTATAAATATGATCGACTATATGAACGGATTTATCAATGTACGAAGAAACAGAGGAGGAGGGAGTAGAAGGTCTGTTACGTCAGCCACGTGAGCATATTGCGTTGTTCCTCGTCAATACTTGCAGAAAACAGATTACAGGAACGACAACATTATCACTGCCGATTCAGAGACCTGTACAGGTACTCGTATACAAGAAAAAAGCGAAGCTTAACGCTTTACTTGAGAACCTATTTCGATCCTCATTTTTTAAGAAAAAGATAACAATAGCCACGCAACCTTGGCATCAGATACGTGCAACTATAATCAAGGTAAAGTGCAATTATGGGAGTTCACTTATATCGTTTTCAACTGTTTGATGCTGAATGAACACGTTCTTTTAAATGAACAATTTTTTCGAAAACAAATTATTGCGCTTTGTCTAGTTTGAAAAGCTTTATAAATAGGCATTGTGATCTTTTAATATTATTCGAAGTCAATCAATTGCTCATGACTGTATCACATATATTTACAAATTTAAAGCTGCAGTATCGATTGAAGAATCAATCGTAATAACGAGTTTAACGATTAATCCTATTTTCTATAATTATAAAAATTATTCTTCGAATTTAATTTTCAAACAGTACGGAATTTTTTTTTTTAACAACGACAAAATTTTCCACGTCTTTTGAAAATCGTTGGCAACGCGGTTGATATTACAATATGCATTTTCAACGATAGAACCATGTCGTTATTAAACATTATGAACATAATGGGCATCAGAGCCGACAATGAAACGTGCCAATATAGTGAGCAACTGGGCACGAAACAGACAATCACTGCTGAGCATAGAACACTAGAAACGACGCACAAAGGGGCTTGCATCAGAGGGGGTTGTTGGCACTTCACGTGATTCGGAATATAGCCTCGTTAAATTAGAAATTTCTGAAATAAAAGAATCACGAGGAATTGAAAGTATCAATACCAGAAACTTTCATATTCGGATGGTAAAGACATTAGCATTTTGGAGTTCCAAAGATTTTACGACACCGATAACAAAATGAGGCATGTTTTACGAATATTCTGAAAATAACTTATTCAGCAGATCTTTATGAAACTTACGAAAGAAAAATTGAAGGTTCGTATACACGGTTTTCCACGTACAATTTTGTATTAAAAGAAATCATTTGCTATCACCAAATATCCAATAAAAGACCCAGAAAAAGCTTCATAAAGCTGCCTAATACATTATTTTTATTTTCAATAAATTCGTAAAAAAAAAAGTCAGGTCGGCGAGTGATGGAATCAGAAAAGAAACACGTAGGAATTATCATAGAAAAGAAGAGAAACTAGATGAAAGACGCAGAAATGTTGCGTAGCGGAAGGAAGTAGCGAAAGTAAGAATTATGACGGACATCTAGTGTTGCAGTAATCCGAGGGCTTTGTGCCGACGATACATCTTCTTAAGGTTTCCAACACAACACTCCATACTTGACTCGTATTCTTTTTCTCAAAATGCACGTTGTCCATATATGGGTGATAAAGATGTTAACAACGAACGAACACATACCGTATTCATTTGGCAAACACGAAGACAGTAGCAACATTCATTAATTGATGCAATTTCTAGGCATACAGTGAACAACTCCATTGTAGCAAACATCTTAATTTTTAGCCCAGTAACTTCCCTAATTACAAAAGATTTGATTTTTTTTTCTGCTCCTTCCCGGAATTGAACCTGGGTTTGCGCCGCCAGAGCCTGACACTTTGCGCGCTGGACCACACCGCTTTCTTGTGACCCATTGTGCAGTCAAAGTATTTAAGCTACGTCGCGGATGCATACAATCCTTAATAGATCGAAAACTATTAGTTTGCGACTCCTACGTGTATAAGTGAAAATTAATTGTTCCTTCGAGATCTACGGGTACCTCTTGGTTTAAAGCTCATCCAATGTCATGGCCTTCGACCTCGAATTTTCCATAAACGGACAAATATCTGTATAATTGCCCAAACATGACTGAATCTAATAGTATATTCACAAAAAATAGAAATAGTTTTTGTCGCTTTTGTGAAGAAGTTACAATAGACATACAGAAATACAACAAAGTTCACAGTGAATATAATGGGGATTAATAAATTTGAATAAACCAAACCCAATTATTTGGTAGGTACATCTTTTTCTCTAACCTAATTTATAATAATCAAGTGTCCCAGAGTGTCTTAAACATTTTCCCATAAAATCGTAATCATGGCTTCGATATTTTCAGCTCTGCCGCGGTAAAATATCTTGTTGACCAATTAAACGCACCGAGGGACGTTTCCTTGTAAGTTATCAGATATAGCGGGCTTTGACCTGTTGAAATCGCTGATCGAATGAGAGATTAGCCTCTCAAGGAAGCGATAATACGTTGCTTCTGATAAGGTAGTACATACAAAAGAGTATAAATAATAAATGTAAAATGTTATATACAAATATGCATTACTTTTAATTCAGCAACTGGTCCAACTTTTCGGGACACACCGATTTATTTTACGAAAGCAGGTTGTATGAATTACAAATAAATTGATACTATTCGATAATGTACTCTCGATAATCATTAATTATTCAGCCATTTTGTTATTTCTTAAACGCACTGTTAACCAAGTAAGACAACTTTGATTTTCAAAAATGAAAAAGATGCTTTCGTAATTCAAACGTGCCGAACATGATCCATTCAAGCTATTTTTAATATCGTCAACATATTTGTAAATTACTTACCAATAAACACGAAAATCTGATGATGCGAGTACCGTAGCAACATTGAAACGGAGGTAGTCTGAAACAAGAAAAAATTACAATAAATAACATTGCAGATAGAATTGTAATATAATCTTCATACAGTAAGGGAATGAAAAATTTGATAACAAGTGGAAAATTAATACCGCGATAATAATAAGTAATACCATTCAGAAAGATTTGATCGATAATCATTCTCCTAAGCTTTTCTACAAATTATTCCACAATATCTTTCTTAATAACACGATCAATTATGATCACGTGTACTTTCATTTAAAATAAAAAAATATTATATATTCCATGGCAATTGTATTTGATTAAAAAACAAAATCCTGAATGATTGTAAATAAAAATTCGAAAAATTTCCTCTGTTAATAATAAAGAATTTTCCAAACGGGGCTTTAAAATTTTGTTGTTTAATAAAATACAATTGGTACGAAATATATCCGATTTTAATTTTAAATAATCCTAAAAAAAAATCGATTATATTCCACACCAATTACGTTTGATTAAAAAACAAAATCTTAAAGCTACCTTTCGAAAATCCTTTAGTATCACCAGAGGAAATTCTTCGAATGTTTATTTACAATTATTATTGGAGTAGTGGAACTATGTAGTATCGGTATAACAGAGTGCATAATTTTAATAAAGTTCTTCCATATAGAGTATGGAGTCGATTAGTATGTGTCGTGAGTAAAAATATATTTACTAGAGGGAGATTGCAGCATAGCTACGTTACGTGATAAATTGCGAGTTGCACAGTGCGTACTCGGTTACCGGGTTGAGAGTGAATAGTGCAATTGAATTGCGATCGGTTCGGATTGAGCCAGCACCTGACACCCTGAAGATAATTTACTATTTGCGATGGGCAACCTTGGTAACAGAACCGTTTAATCTTACTGTGCAGATGTGCCACTGTTATTTACAAGCCAAGTGACGAACAAAATAGCATCCATGAAAACTCTGGCGAATACTCTAGTTTAAATAAAATTTAAATGAAACATGAAAATGGTTTCGCAATTTCTACCTCGCGCTGGCTAATTCTGCATCGTTCATAAACTTTCGATGCGTAACAATTGTCTGTAATATCTAAACTAAAATATTTATTTTGTATATGTATTCCTCTTTTTTTATTTTAGACGCATATTAACCTAAGTTTATTTACAATTTAGAATGTGAGATTAACTTTGGCATACGTAAATAACATGTACGTAAATGTATTACGTGCATTTCGTACATCGAAATATCCAAAATAATTAATAAAATCGCCAGTTCATAGTATAACAGTTTTTGTGTTATGTAAGTTCAAATATGCATATGTATTTACCACATAACACGTTCCAACGACCAACCGTAGTGAATCAAATTTTTCATGAATATTTTTCAATCAATTTCGATATGTTTGATGTATGTATTTACATGTTGAATGTGTGTTTTATTTGATGAAACCAGAATAGAATAGATTTGAGAGAGAAAAAACAAACAAAAAATATAAATAACAGATGACTGGTTTCGTGTTGTATGCTACGAAAATAGAGAAAAAGATATGGTTGGATCTATTTCTTGTAATCTATCGACTCATGGTAAATGTATACGCAATTACAATTATTCATATCTCAATAGCAATTTATATGTATTTCAATTTATTGATTAATTGACTGAAAATGTAATTATTTAATACCCAACGTTAGTTTACCAGATCCTTTTAACAGAATGAAATAACTCAAAATTCTTTAGGGATCATCCAGGTAGATGTTTCTAAAATAAAAGGAAAATATGATCAAAATAATTTAGGCGTAAAACGTCGAGAATTTTTGCTAAAAATGTATAATACGAGAAAAATTCATAGATTAAAGTGATCTAGCGTTTATAGAAAATTATTTTGAGAGAAACTTAATTGTTATTAAGTATCTTTTTCATATTTTAGAAACATTTATCTACAACCTCACGTAAAAATTGTTCAATAGCCCAACTCCATTCTGTATGAGCATCCTAATAGGGAGTTAACGGAAACTTATAGAAAAGCGTACGTGCAAGATGAAGAAAATGGGAAGGAATAGTTAAAGAAAAGGGCAGCTAGGGAGAAGTGTTACACGCTGCATTGTAACAGAGTACTCGATGTCGCGTGTACATGACACAGGAGATACGGGGTAATACGTGGATGACGACCGTCCCGTACACGTGACTTTACGGTGGGGTTGACCGAGGGTGGTTCCAGGTGACACTCCAAGTACTGGAGTAGCATTCACGTGTTGTGGCACGGAATCCACCCATCTCCCGTCTCCACCACGAACTGAATTCAAAGCATTTCCGATGCTCTATGCATGGAATATTACGTCGAAACGTGACGAAAGAGTAATAATGCATTCGGTCTTTCATTAAGAGCTTTCGTTATAAATTTCGCAACATTCGTAAACCGTCAAACATGCAACGCTTCTATCCAATACCTGAGAAATAAAAGCTATACGATTTAAGAAAATAGAACGACAACGCACAGAAATAGTGGAACTTCACTACAAGCAACTAAACAATTGCATTGTTGTGTTGTTGATTTTTTTCTTCGGGAGTACGAGGAGAAAACGTTTATGCCAATGATCCACGACACTCTTTAAACACTACTAATTAATTCCTGCAAATAGATAATGAAACTAAAAAGCCTATAAATAGGCTCTCAGTAGATAAAGTGTTAATATTTAGATTCAGGGAAGGAAGCTCGTTCAGCTGGTATTTGAAAAATCGAAGACTACACTGGTAATATGTAACCAGACTCAACGAAAGTATTCTAATATTCTATCATCCATACTTCAATGTTACTTCTCGTATAATTACTCGTGCATGAAGTAATTGGCTTTGGATTATATCCTCCGTAATTATGTAGATATAAACCAGGTATAGACTGGTACACAATGCATTGCATTTGAATCGTGGTTAGTGGTATGCAGTATTACTCATTTGTTCGCACAGTGTGAACCCATTAAACACGAGCGCAGCTATTCGCTGGTCCGTATATGATCCAATCACTTCCTCACACCCGGGGAATACACTGAAATTTCACGACCCATCTCGCATTCGTGCTGTTTATGTGGGAACACAGCTGCCGATAATCCATTCATATGATTATCTTATTCATATATATCATAAGTTGATGGTTAATAAAAAATTTTATTCGAAATAATGTTCGAATGGTTATTTAAGACGATTTCGTTACCGATGTAATTATCTATAATTGAAATACGTACACGAAATACACTTTTGATGCGATGGAAAATTTCTGAAAATTATTATCGCGTCCGATACGAGAGCGCAACTTATTTGGGGACAATTTGATACAAAATTACCAGCTTGGGGTCTCTGTAACGAATATGATGCCCCTAATAACGTTGATTTATGCCCGACGGTTCAAATCCAAAGGGATCGCAGGTCGCGAGGATGCAAGGGTTTGGATGGTTATACGCGGGTTATCTCAGTACGTTACTTTGAATTGATTGCCATATCCTTTTACACGTACCAGGCTGTTGCGTGGATATGTATGATACCATCCCCTTGACGGGATGGTATATATCCGGATCGAAAACACGTAGCACGTGAAACTAAATCTAATTTACACATACAGAGCATCCTACACTCATCACAGATCATGCTCATAATATTATGACGTATAATTTATAACATCAATGGTTTAATTTAATTTCTTACTGCGGTAAAATAAACGCACGAGAAATTAACGAAATTTAATGTTTAAAAATACTCTCTAAAGACTCGTCAATTTAGATTTAAATCTTACTTCAAGCAAAAAACCATCCACAATAAAAAAATAAAAAAACCGATTTATACATATTCTATATCTTATTATGCTATTCAATTTTCAAGTTTATTGTATTAAAAAATTATAGTATTAAATATTTACTACTACAATATAGTAAACAATTAAAATTGGATATAATTGTACGACTAATCTAATTAAATTCATCGTAAAAGTGACACGTTCTGTATCTATAATTGAAAAAATGTACTTACAAAAATTAACATGATGCAAAATGCCGCAAGATACGAAGTTCTGGCCATCCACATGCTTACGAATCGATAATGTTCTCCAGTCACTACATTTCTGTAAAAATTAGTACATGATATTATAATTTGAACAATAAATAACAACTTATTAAAATTAAAATATGATAATATTTAATATGTTACGCACCGTAAAAAGCCTTTATTGTCTTCGTGTTCTGCCAATGTCTTGATGCTCGCCATCAATAAATCATCGTATCCCAGGAAGACATCAAGTATTAATCTTGAAAAATCATCGCCAAAACATTTATCATTCATAGGATCGAGAGTAACAACTTTTACGGGAATGTTTAACCTCTGTCTTGCAGCAGGTGACAATCTCAAGAAACCATATTCTAATGAATATTCTACAATATACCCATCATCTAAAAAAAAAAATAATTTTTAATTATACTGACGAAATAATAATTTTATTATTATTTTTTTTTGTGACGTTTAAGCAGTTATATACATTTGGATGCCATACAAAAAAAAAACTTGGTTTAACATTTTTGTTAAATGAATTTTATGTTTTAAATAGAAAATGCGGAACGAAAAAGAATGTAAAAATTGTCGCGATTTCGAAAGTTGTCATTTTTGTTTAACTAACAAATTTTTATTTTTGCAATCATTACTACTAACTACATGAATGTTCTTTACAACAAATTTATTGAATTATTTTTTTCAGATATACCGTTTGAACGGCAACGGAACAGAACTTTGTAAAGCCAAAGTTGTTACTAGATTATTTTTAAATCTTTTTTGAATAATCTCATTCTTTAACTTGTTTATAAACTGTACTTTCCATTACTGTAAAAGAATGTTTTTTTTTTAAATTACTAATTCTATATACAAATTCATAAAATTAACCCCTTTGTGGGTGTCCAAATGTACATAACCTCTTAATTATCTACAAGTGATCACATATTTTTTTTAATAAATTACATCATATTTGTACCTGTCCTAGCAAGCTTATCGATTTCACCATTTTGCTCCTTTAATGGTTGTATATTTTCTTCCTTATCTGATTTATTTACATCTTGTTCAGCGGTATTGTTTTGCTCATCTGTTAATGACACTATTTTCTCGTCTGACGTCTAAAACATTAATTTAAAATAGAATTTGAAATCAACATTATAAGTAGTATGTGCAGTACCTGATCAGTTGTTATTTACCTCTTTTGTGCCTATATTTAATTCGTTCCATAATTTTGTTGATAGTGAAGGACTTGTAGTGTTACTTATACTTAAATTTGGATCTTGTGCTTCACCTAAAACAGTAGCATGTCTGGCAACTATGTCTTTCTCAGCTAATGTTAAACTGTCGTGATTTTCTTCATTAGACATGTTAGCAGTGTCTCTATCTTCATCGACAGCAGATGGTTCAATGATAATAAACCTATGGAAACATCATAAAATAAGGCAAATATATAAAATGATAAAAGATTATTGTAATACCAAATCTAATATTAGCACTCTTACCCATCTCTAGTTAATATTCCCAAAGCATTAGTTAAGTCATCTACTTTTTCTTGTCTCAATGTCTCTTCTTTTACATAAGTTTTATCTATACTATAGTCTTCTCCTCCATTTCTAAGTATTTCCACTCTTAATATACCATCTCGCGGCCAATCATCTCTTATATGTTCTAGACAGTTAGTTGGTACTCGTGAAAATACTATGTGAATATAAGCCAACACAAAAAATGCTATTATAGCCTGAAAATTTGTAATACATAATTATTTAACTTCCACTACGATACTTTAATAAATTTAATAAATTAATTTTAATAAATTTATTAAATTGTACATTTATCAAACTTCAGGAAATACGAAAATAGATCAATTATTTACCTTTAATAAAACTATGAACTCTATAAGTCTCCTGACATGCCTTGGAAATGTTTTTGCATATGCTATTGCAGCTTTAAAAAATATTGCATGAAACAACCTATCCCTTACATTAACTAATGGGACTTGATTGTTATTATTCCTAGTGGTATTCATATTATTATTATTTAAAGGTGACTATATTGCACCAACAGTAATACGATTATTATGTACAGGTGCACTGTTTAATGATTTGTTACTGGTTTTGCACCACCATTTACTTGTGACATTTTAAATATCACATAATGTTTGTTCTCAACATATGGTTAATAACTTTTACTCATACAATCTTCATGTATGAAATGTTGTATAAAGAACTTAATCATGTTTATGTACATTTCTACATTCAAATTATATTTTAGATACCCTGAAACAAGTAATATATACATTACACATTGACATCATATTAATACATATTATCATTTACATTCATTATTAGTACCTAAGCATTATTGACCTGCTATGTACTTTAGTACCATAACATAATAGATTTTAAAAATAGGACAGGTAATTCACAACATGTTCAAATCTCGGTATTTTAATATTTGAATCTTTTTTTCTTAAATAGATCTCTAATTCTAAATTATGAAACATAATAATATAAAGAAGGTTATTTCTATGTTCATATGTATTGTAAAATGTATTGCATACTTTATTCACGTATTTAATTAATAATTACTAATACAATCATAACCAACGTGGAACATAACCTGTTGGAAGCAACATAACCTACTTAATAATTAAATTTTGTATGCGGAAGCAATTATAATTTATGAAAATGATAATATATTTACAGAATTACTCATAAAAATTGTTCTTACTTATGTTACACATCTTAAACAAATTATTGATACATAAAAGAATGTACTTGTATAATAATAATATACTTTGTTATGTAATTAAATAATTAAGAAAAATAATTATTATATATGTAAACAGCTTTGAATAATACTATTTATTCTATAATGTACATATCATTATAGATTAAATAATCTATTCCACAAATGACACACAAGAGCTAGTCAAATTTTGTGATATAAATCAACCACATCATACCTTTTTAAAAAGCTGAATTCCTCTGTGTGCCACTATGGGTAACAACAGATTCATAAAATGTCAGCTTGTAAGTTTTAACAACTATGTTATAATAATCTTAATTGGTTTTCATCTGAAAGTGTACCAATAATTTATAAAAGGATTTTATTAGATATATCAAGCAAAGTGCTACAGTAATTTTGAATTTGAAGAATCATGCATTTTCATTATAATGAACAAAATGAAATATACAAAATTTAGATATATAATTTTATCATATTTGTTATATTAACAAATTAACCCTATAAGTAATTGTGTACTTTAGACATTATAGTAAAGGAAATGCAGGCACAATTAGAAAATAATTGCTTATTACTATTGAGAAAATTGATAAAAGTTCAAGAATGACACTTTCAAATAAGTTAAATTCTGCATACATAATATTAATTGTGCAAGTGTAAATATTGAATTGCATAAACATATAAAGTGAGTATTGCATTGATTCATACACGTTTTTTTTTTTTTATTATTACTTCAAATATGAAAAAAATAGGACTGTATAACAATAACATATTTTATTACGTAATTAAGTAATTGGAGAAAGTAGTTATTTCGTATCACATACAGATTTAAATAATATTATTCATTCTGTGTTAGAAAATGCATGCATTCCTTTTCGAATAAATCGTTATAACCCGGACGTGACATTTCACAGGTGACAAGAACCGCTGGTAAAATTATCACACAGGAATCAACCATATCGTACCTTGTTTCGAAGCTGAACAGAAAATATAACGCTGTATTCCCAACAATACTATCCTTCTGTATGTCAATATGTTTAATAATCAACTCGTAATAGAACAGGTTGTAAGTATATTCACAAATACGATTCTCGTAAAATTGTCACTTCATCATCATGTTTTGATATTCCACAAACACGTATAATACTAGTTCCTAACTCCAGAACGTTGCCAACATTATAATACGAGAATCATCAAAAAGTTCGTTTAAACTAAAAGTTTCTATCTATCACTGATTTTTATTGGCGTTTTGTTATCGAAGAACCAATAAAATAATTTCATCGCTTGTTTGTGTTTGTCCATTGATAGAGTAATTTTAAATCCCAGTAACGGATGTTTAAACGACAAAGTTACTATACGAAAAACATAAACACTACAAACTATAGTACTTTTTAAAGAACTGTTATTTTCACAACCTACTCTAAAGTCGGTTGTGCTAATAGTAATTTAGTGTGAATTTTAACGGATAATTAACAAAATTTGAATATGAAAATGTATTCATAATTCAACATCTGTGTAATAAATTCATAAATTATAATACAACTTGATTGTATAGATATATATAATATCTTTAATTTGACGATATTGAAAATGATGAATTCACCAATGTCTCCACAAACTCCTTTGAGCTTTGAATTAAGAACAATTATAAACAATAGAAATGTTTTGAGCATGAGGAGCCGTATGAAAGGTATAGTTAAGAGTTCAATTTTCTGTTAATTAGTTTTTATGTATAAAATTTAACATATTGATGTTTACAGTTCTTAACAGTTTAAATGAAAGTAATCAAAGATGTTTCGAAGAAAAGGAAAAAAATTTGAGGTGCCAAGCTATTCAAGAAATTTTAACAACAGAAGTTACTTATTTACGACAATTAGAAATATTAATGGAGGTATTCTGTTTGTTTTTATATTTATTTAGGTATCATTCAAATGTTATATTGTTAGCAATATAAAATCAATTATTATTGTTTTAGTACTTCATAGAACCTATGTTTAAAAAAAAATTATTGGATCACATTTTGCTTTCAACACTATCAGAAAATATAAAAACATTATACAATGTTAGTGGAGAATTAGTAAAAGAATTAAAAGAAGATCCAGAGAATATAGCTGGTGCATTTCATAAACTCGCTCCATTTTTTAAGTTATATTCAGTTTATGCTTACGATTATGAGCAAGTTTTGTCCTTGATACAGGTATGTTAACAACACAAAACTTTCTTTTATAATTATTTTTTATCTTCAATTAGAACAGAACTATATATTCTTTACAGACAAAACAAGAAAGTAACTTCATATTTAAAGATTTTATTAGTAAACAAGAATCAAGACCTGAAGTTAGTAGAAAATTACCTTCATTATTAATTACACCAATACAAAGAGTACCTAGATATAGATTGCTTTTACAAGAAGTCTTGCAACATACACCTCATAAACATAAAGAATATAATCTTCTGCAAGGTAACTTTAAAGTAAGAATTTGCAATATTTATAATAAAATGGTGCTGCTCAAATTTAAATGTTTTATATAAAATAAATGTATTGCGTTTATAGTGTGTTTAGTAGAAGTTGAGAAAGCAGCAAGGCACATAAATACTTTAGTTGAACAACATGAAGAAGTACAAAAATTATTGAAGCTACAAAAATGTATTGTGAATCCAATTAATTTGGTGAAACCTGGTAGAAGGTTTATTAAACAGGGAGCATTAATGAGAGTTTCAAGACGAGGAAATTCTGCTTATAGAAGATATTTTGTTCTTCTAAGTGATACTTTACTGTATTGCAAAGGCGATCCAGAAAATTCATTAACTTTATGTTGTGTTTTACCCTTGAATAAATGCAAGGTTGAATGTGTTCTAAGTGGTGGACTGTTTCGTGTTTCATGTTTAAATGAGACACTCTTACTTTATTCTGAGAAAGATGATAGCAATTTATGGATGGAAGCAATAGAAAATTCCATAAAAAAGGTATTAATAAACATAATTACTGTACAAGTATCTTATAATTAATGCAATTTGTTTCATTATTTTAGTATGCAGAGTGTAGACAGACTTTACGAAAGGATAGCAGTTCAAGGAAACCATTAAGACATAATAATCTTAATCTGTTTCCATCTGAAAATATACCAGTAGTTGCTGGTAAAAGAAAAAGACCAGATGGAGAAACGGAGGTGCTACAACAGTTTCTAGTTTAAAACATCATGCCTCTTTATTTTATATAATTATACTTAAATTAACAGGTTAATCTGGATGCATCAAGAATTATGTATCTTAAAAAAGACAATGAAGCAGATGCGGACATACAATCGGACAGTAATTGCTTCATATTATTGAAAAGATTTAAAAAATTTAAAAATAATAATATTTCTGAATATAGTAATTCTTGCATACAAAACTTTGATTATGTAAGTTTAAGTATTTACTTATAGAAATATCTAGAGTAAATATTACATTATGTTTTGTTCACAGAATAGTACAGGTAAAGAAAATGAACACTGTACAGAAAACATAGCATTACGTTTATCTCCCGTTTCTTCTTCAACCTATGATCAACAAACTTCATCAACGTTCAAATCCATCGGTGAATTTTTCTCATCTATCGGGTCATCTTTAAAAGAATTCTTTAAATTTAGATAACACAGTTTGTAATAATAAAATAAATTATGTAATGAGACAATTGTATTTAAAGATTGATTTTCCAATTTCCTATCAAAAGTACTTGAAATAAAACTATAAGAATCGTTAGATAATTTACGAAATCGAATGTTATATTTTACGTTTAATTTTTCAATCAGAACATATAAAAAAAAATAACTGGTAACTATGCATAAAATTAAAATAACAATTTCAGTTTGTTGAAGTACTAATTGAAAATAAAAATGAATTGAATTTGTATTTTACATTACCTAAAATTACATAGAAATACCCAATGCTTCAAATTACAACAAAGTTCCCTAGACTCGTCTATAGGGAGTTATGACCGATACCTACAAATGATAAGAGAATCGAATTTTTTTATCATACAATTAACAAAATATCATTTCTGATCCAGGTATGATAGATCTTTAAGTATATAACGAAAGATAGCAAATAACATCAAGAGTACGTAACGAAAATAAATATATAATTAAAAACGCAACCAGTATTATATTTTTTTATGTTAGACTAATACTACCAAAAACAAATTGTATATTTTCAAGTCACATTTTATATTCGTATTTATCGATTTATTTGTTTAAAAAAGTTTTGTATTTTGAATTTTACTTGTTGAACATATACACAAAATTGAAACAAATTTTATAATAGGTTATGTTTATGTATTCTAAGAAATTCGTGTAACAATACAACAAACAATTGTAACTTTGGAACTACATACGTCTGTATAATTTTTTTACTACAATTAATTTTTAAAAAGATTATTATATTATTACATAAACATTTATATAGTAAATACTACATGTAATGTAATAATAATAAGTTATAATAAATAAATGGAGTCGCATATTATTAAAATAATTACAATTAAATCACTCCTTTTCTGTTTACTGTGCTAACTTATTTTTGAAAAAATTCATTTGATTGTGAGTTCAGTTTACTAATTAAAATCATATATTGGAGTCAAATTTTTATATCCTTGAAATATGTATTAAACACGCTACTTCTGCATCAGTCTATTTGGACAATATTTGTATGAAGTAACAATGTATTCACAAGCTTTAATATACATTTATTTACTGTATAATTTATTATGAATTAATGGTGTTTTTTGAAGTTTTAAGTAATTACAAATTTATATTAATTTATGTGGATATAAAAAATGTCAACAAATTAGAAAGAAGCTATTTTTAATTAATAATTTAGATCGGTAGTTTTTCTATAATTTATAAATACCTTTTCTCTATTTTTCAATAGTATGTACAAATGTTTTAAGAAGCAAAAACTAATACAATATAAATAGTTCTGTTTAATAAAATATAACTAAAACTAATATATGCATAAGTAAACAACTTAACAAAATTTAAATTGTCTTCAAATGAAAGAAAATAAACCTATTCATTATAGCATAAACAAAATATTTTAAACATGAATGGGATAATACCGGAAATGGAACAAATCATTAGTCAACTCGAAAGGGGGACTGTGGTAACAAAATTTTTTTCAAGAAAGAGACCAGAGAAGAAAACTCTTATGATAAGAAGAGAAACCAGGCAAATTGTCTGGGCAAGAAGTGCAACATTTAGACCTTTTGATGGTTCAGGTAAAAATATTTCATGCCTTAAATAAAATTACAATAAGAGCTCTAATAATTTAACATTATTATTTGTTTAAGACAAAACAATACAACATTTTTATTTGACCATGATTACACATTAAAAGAAGAGTAAATAAAAAATTATAGAAATTTTAAAAAACCTATATTTCTGCATTTCCAAAATGATAGTTCTTATTAAATTTGTATATATTTATTCGATACTGTTGAAATAAAATTCCACCTAACATTCTAGGCACACATTTTGCATGGTTATGAAGATATATCTAGAGCAAAAATGGGCAAAATATTATCTGAGGATACTAGTTATTAGGTCAAAAACCTGAAGGAAAGGTCCTAGTGAATAATGTATATGGGTGAGTTTACGATAAAGATACAACCTAAGTCAGTTAATGAATTTCATTTACTGCATATTTGCTTGCTTCCAATGTAGAATTAGCTTATACATGTTTCTGACTTGATAATTTATTAATTTGATGATGTTAAATTAAATATTCTAACATGTAACTTAGTGGACATTTCCTTCATTTTTGGTCTACAAACAAACGTGCCCATGGATACTGTTGATATATTGAATCAGCCCTATTGGATATCATGGGTCTTTGATTTAAAATGAAACTAGTGTAATCATTCAAATTTGCTGACTTTATATGTTACCACAAAACATTAATACATGACACATAAATCAGAACTTTAATCAAAAATGTCTTCTGTTTTTCAAAACACTTAATACTTTTAGAGTATCATTTATGCACAATATTTGCATAATGTTTATATGTAGGTACAATATATAACGTACACAAAATGTTATATGTATTGTTAAATATAGGATTTAATATGTTAAATATATACAGATGTGTAAGATATATTAAGAAAAATTTTGTTCTCTCTGATTTTAGTTGAAATAAGAGAAATAAAAGAAATTAAAGTTGGAAAACATTCTAAGGACTTTGAAAAATGGCCAGAAGATGCAAAAAGAATTGAAAATCTAAGATGTTTTGTTATATATTATGGTTCTGAATTTCGACTTAAAACACTTTCAATATCTGGTAAATACAACAAATATTTGTATAGTTTTATTATTCTATCTGTGACTACTTCAATGTTTCCTTTTAAAACTTATACATTTATATTTTTATATTCAATCACAACATTTTTTTCTTCAAGTATGTTTTTGTGTGCACCTGCTTCTATGTATTTATTTCAGCCCTTAGTGAAAAAGAATGTGAACTTTGGGTAAAAGGGTTACGTCGTTTAGTTCAAGATACTATAAAAGCTCCATATCCTTTACAAGTTGAAAGATGGCTAAGAAAAGAGTTTTATGCAATGGAAAATTCAAGAGAAACGTAAAAAAATTTATAATTCATTTGTATCTTTAAATTCCCTATATGTTTTTTATATGCTTTATTTTATATAAACTTCATTGAAATATTTATGAATGCTTCAGTTTATTAATTTACACACTTTTAATTCGATTATTTACGCTTACAGGGTTACTGTGAAAGATGTAAAAGCATTTTTACCTAGAGTTAATTGTAAAGTGGCAACAAACAGGCTTCGAGAAATCTTCCAAGAAATAGATACAAGAAATAGAAATGAACTTGGTTTTGATGATTTTGTTGTACTTTACCATAAACTTATGTTTGATCAAAATGTAAGTTTTTTAATTTATTGATGTTACTAATATTTGTATTTCTCGTTACAGATTTACGTATGCAGGGTCGATTTTTCTAATTTTTTTAAATATCTAATTGTTATATACATTGTACTTTTACTTTCACAGAATTTCACAGATTGGAGTAAATTGATCAATTATTCTAAAACAGGACCAATTGTTACTGTCCATGATTTCCAAAACTTCTTAACATCCGAACAACAAGATCCTTTAGGGAATAATGAAGTAGAAGTATCTTGTTTTATTAGAGATTACTTGCAAGATCCCCAGAGAGATGTACAGGAACCACATTTTACATTTTCCGAATTTATCGATTTTTTGTTTTCAAAACAAAATTCTGTTTGGAATACAAAATATTCCCGAATATATCAGGACATGAATAAACCCCTAGCACATTATTGGATAGCTTCGTCGCATAATACGTAAATATATTTTTTTTGCAAAAAGTGACTTATACTAATAGCAAGTGAATAATTTCAACAAACATTATTGTAGATATTTAATGGGAGATCAAATTAGCAGTGAAAGTAGTTGTCAGGCTTATGTGCGTGCATTAAGGACTGGATGTAGATGCATAGAACTCGATTGTTGGGACGGACCAGATGGGATGCCATTTATCTTTCATGGTCATACACTTACCACAAAAATTAAATTCTTGGATGTCATTAAAACCATTAAAGAGCATGCATTTGCTACATCGGAGTAAGTATAAATAAATATTTCATTTTTATTTTAAAAGCCACAAAGTAAACATATTTTTTATGTAGCTATCCTGTCATTTTATCTATTGAGGATAATTGTACACTACCTCAGCAACGTAAAATGGCAGTTACGATGCAAGAGGTATTCGGTGACATGTTGTTGGTTCAACCTGCAGATAAAAATGAAACTTGTTTGCCATCACCACACGCACTAAGAAGAAAGATTATATTAAAACATAAAAAATTACCTGATGGTGTTGATGAAACATCGTTTCTTATTCGAAGCGATGAAAGCAGACAAGAAATGGACCTCAGAAATACAGTAAAAAATGGTATTCTTTACCTTGAGGATCCTGTTGATAGAGAGTGGAATCCTCACTTTTTTGTACTAACTCAGCAGAAGCTATTCTACACGGATACGTTTTCTAGAACTCAGGAAATTGAACACGATGATGATGAAGAAGATGTAGCTCGACGACCAACAGATGTATGTACATACGATATAATTATTTTTAATTAGTACTATTTTACTAAGTTCCATTACTGATTCTAATATAGGGTGTACCTAATGACGAATTACATTTTGGAGAAAAATGGTTTCATGGTAAACTGGCACGAGGAAGAGAAGAAGCAGAAGAATTGTTACGACGGTATTCGCACCTTGGTGATGGCACATTTTTAGTCCGGCAGTGCGTTACATTTGTGGGAGATTACTGCCTTTCCTTTTGGCGTAAAGGCAAAGTAAATCATTGTCGTATTAAACTCAAGCAAGAAATGGGTCAAACGCGATATTATCTTATTGATACAAATTGCTTTGATAGTTTGTACAGTTTAATTACACATTATCGTAATCATCCCTTAAGAAGTCAAGTAAGTGTAAACAAGATACAGCACTGTATTACTTTTAGTAACATAGATGTTCCATTAATTAATCTTCAAATGAAATGGAACAGGAGTTTTTAATCACGCTTCAAGAACCTGTTCCACAACCAAATAAACACGAAGAAAAAGAATGGTGGCACGCCGATTGTAGTCGAAGTTTAGCCGAAGAAATGTTAAAACGCATTCCTACAGATGGTGCATTTTTAGTAAGACCCAGCGAAAAAGAAAGCAATTCATATGCTATTTCATTTAGGTAAAACATTTAAATGGACTACTACATAAAATGATAATATGTAATGGTGTTGTATTATTAGATATGTTCTATTTTTCTCGTTTTTACTTGGTTCCAGAGCAGAGAAACAGATTAAGCACTGTAGAATCAAACAAGAAGGACGATTATATACTATTGGTACTATACAGTTTGAAAGCTTGGTTGAATTAGTTAATTATTATGAAAGGCATCCATTATATAAAAAAATAAAATTAAGCCACCCTGTAAATCAAGATGTCATTAGGAGAATGGAATTGGTATGAATTGGTTGGAATTGGCCACTTAATAAATTATTTTCCTTAATAAATAGTTAAATAATTTTTTCATATTCAGGATACAGATGACGGCTCTGTTTACGGTATTCCTGGTTATATGGATCCTACAAGTTTTACTTCAAAAGTAAGTTGTAATAATAGTCACTTTATCTAATTGAGTAGAAATAATTAATTATTAGAAACATTACACTTTTAATATATTTTAAAGGTGACTGTAAAAGCAATTTATGATTATAAAGCAAGGAGAGACGATGAATTAACATTGGTAAAACATGCTATAGTAACAAATGTGCACCGACAAAGTGGTGGTTGGTGGCGAGGAGATTATGGTGGTAAAAAACAGCACTGGTTTCCTGCTAATTATGTGGAAGAAATAGAACCTCAAGACAATCAGGGAGACGTAAGTCTACCTTACATTGCATCGATTTCTATTGTTTGTCGGTATTATTAACTGAATATCAATATGTTATTATTGTTTTCAGTCAGCAGATTCCATGATGTTTGGTAGTTTACAGAAAGGCTCATTGGATATTATGGGCGCTGTTGTTGAATTAAGAGTAGGTGGAAGACCTGGATTAGAATGGATATTGAGAATACAAAATCCTAGTATGTGTTCAGTATTTGAAGTGGCAACTCCTTCCAAAGATACTGCGTTGGAATGGATGGCTAGCATTAAAGAAACTGCTCAAAATGCTAGTGTCAGGGTAAACATAAAATTTCATATGTTTACTAAATTTTGAAATGACAATGAAATCAAAGAATTAATTGTACATTTAATTTCTTGTTTCAGGAAAATCAACACAAAGAAATGGAACGTGCATGGAGAATAGCAAAAGAAATGTCAAATTTAATAGTTTATTGTAGATCAGTTGCATTTAATTTAGAAAGAATAAGAACAAAAGGTTTTATATTTTCTGAAATGAGTAGCTTTCCTGAAACGAAAGCTGAAAAACTAATGTGTCAACAAGAAAACAAATTTTTTATAAAATATCATCAGGTAAAGTGACATAGGATTTACTACCATTAATAATATTTGCCAAATAAAATTTGTCGAAGTATCTAAAATAAAAATTTTATAGGTTCAATTTAGCAGAGTATATCCAAAAGGACAACGTATTGATTCGTCAAATTATAATCCTGTACCAATGTGGAATTCTGGTTGTCAAATGGTAGCATTGAATTATCAAACTGGAGATAAATCAATGCAACTAAATCAGGCAAAGTTTAGAGAAAATGGCAATTGCGGATATATTTTGAAACCCGAATTTATGTTTAAAGATGATTTCAGTCCATATGATAAAAATTGTTTACAAGGAGTAGAGTCTATTAAATTTAGTTTAAAAATTATTGGTGCAAGACACTTAATTAGATCAGGGAGAGGTATAGCCAGCCCTTTTGTTGAAATTGAAATTATAGGAGCCGATTTTGATAGTGGTACAAAAATAACGACTAAAACAATACGTAAGTAAAATAAAATTATATATTATCGGCGTTGACAATTAAACAGTAACTGTATTAAAATTGTAGCTGATAATGGATTTAATCCTATGTGGAATGAATCCTGCGATTTTGAAGTTTCCAATCCATACTTTGCGTTTATACGATTCGTTGTACAGGATGAAGACATGTTTGGTGATAGTAATTTTATTGGGCAAGCCACTTATCCTGTATGTACATACTATTCGCAAAACATTACTACTATTTTTAAATTACTAATTGTATACTGCATTTTTTTGGATATACCCGTACATTTAGGTCCGATGTTTACAATCAGGTTACAGAAGCGTTCCATTAAAAAATAACTATAGTGAAGATCTTGAACTTGCATCACTATTAATACATCTTCGAATTTCATCTTCAGCAGTAAGCACAAAATTTAATTATAATTTATCTTTATTATTTAACTAGATACGTTACTTTATATCATAAATATTTATTTTAGACGCACTCGCATAACTTATAAAGTCAACGTTAAATTGCATATAAGTTGCAAACCGTTGATTCACGTCGGAATTAAGAAAAGGTAAAGAATATAATAAACGACACCTGTACATTAATTGTTATTTATGAATTCAGCACTGTATAATATAACTTCCATTATTCAGATTAGAATCTAGCATAACTACAATTAAATGAAATATTTTGATTAGAAGATTACGAAAGAACGTCACCAGAGAAGACTAGTTATCTACAATGTTTATGTTTCAAATTGAAATTGAGTACGAGAACACATATATCTATCTTTCTAACCAATTACATAGGTAATTTAGGGACATTATTATTATTATACATAGTATCAAAGAAAAATAGTAGAATAGTTCTTACAGTATTGAACAGAGAATGAAAGGGATATATATATAAAAATATTGAAAATGAGAAATACAATAATGCCTCATTAAAAGTTGAGTAATCAATATTGCAAAAATTATATAACATATTATAAAGATTTTTGCAAATTGTTGCAAAAAATACCCAAAAGTATGTATCTATTACTTAGTGTATAGTTCATTTAGATCATTTGCAACAGAAAAGATAAATAACTTATAAAAAAAAGCAATGTGATTTAGTATAACTATTTTAAAATTTTTTAATTGATATAGAAAGTAACATATCAGGCAGTAGCGTGACAAAGTATATCTTTATTTAAATTATATAAAAATTATAAAAACAACAAGGCCTTATACTAAGATATATTTTAGACTGAATTAATTAATATACATAATACGCTTCTAATTCCTTTACAATTAACGGGATATTGTTTTCACGTTAATAATATTTATTTATTATTTCAAAAGTAAATAGTTTTAGCTCGATTATATAATACAAAGAACAATTATGAAATGTTAAAAAGGCCAATTGTTAAGCCTTTCAAATTATAAAATGTATGGTTTAAGAAACGGAATATAAATATTCTTTTATATTACATACTGTAGGACTAAATATATTCTTTCCCATCAATAGAATGGTACAAAAAATAATTATACATGCATTTTTTACAAATATAGAAATATTAGTTTTTATTTGTCTATATTCTCATACGAAAATTATATGTATATTTTATTTTCTACGAACTTAACCTACTTTTATTAATGTTATAATTAATGAAAATTTATGTAATTAGAAATAAGTTGCTTGTTTGAAACAAGTAAGTGATAATAAAAATTTTTGGTACAACCTAATATATTACTTTTTTTACCATGGTTTTATTACCATGTACATATAAAAAACAAATACATACAATTGTTTAATCATTAACCATCTCTCGAAAAGTCTAAATGCCACCCTTAATCCTAGAACGAAAAGGTCACTCTTTACTCTTTTAATGGAAATAAAATAAGTCTTTAATAAACTGTGAAGAAGTAACAAAAGGTAATGCAAGGAGTAAAATTTAATCAATCTTTCCATTCTAGTGCTAAATACAAAATGATAACCTCAAATAATGAACTGAAAGGAATGCGCAATAACGAAAAGCACCTTAGTACTCAAATGATTTAATGTAATGCACACAAACAGTATATAAAAATAAAATATTGTATGCCAATGTTTCTTTATATTTTATTATACATTTAATTTATTACAAATAATCAAGATTTTATATGCTATTTCCTTAACTATATGTAGGTATTCTATTTTCAAAAAAATATTTTTGATATTTGCTTAACTATGTTAAATAAATTGGAGTCTTATAATTATTTCAATTGTTGTTTATCCTTGTTCTTTATGTGAAAATCAATTTTCAAGTTATAAAAGTTTGCTTGAAATTGATTTTTTGGAAAATATTTGTTTAGTAATTTAATTTCAAGAAAAAAAAATGTATGCATGTTATTGGATGAAGCATGTCAAAAAAATAATATATAGTATATTTATTAATTTCATATATAAATCTTTGTATAACTAAAAAATAAGTATACTTTTCTGAACATAGGTTACTGATATTGAGAATTTTAATAATAATATTGTTTTGGTTGCAAACAGTTACAAACTTTTCTTCAGGATTTCATCAAACAAGAATACAGATACAGATGGGTCGCGTTCAGTTAATAGCTGCTTCAAATCACTTGTATAACCTGCTAAGTCTCGTACAGATTTAGTATGTGATTCAAAGAACTGTTCTTCCATATAATGACCCAGAGCTGCATCATGCTTGTTATGAGCCTGTGCCGTGCCGTGAATACGCATTGCTTCCTCAGCAAGTTGTTTTTGCGTGTCAAGTGCCTTAGCTAAGCTGCTAAGTTCGTTCAATTCTAATACTCTGCTTTCCTTTGGCTGAGAAAGTAATATAATAAAATTATTAAAAAGTTCTTCTGCTAATATTATATTTTTATACTATAAGATGTAATTATGAAAAATATAAATCTACTTACAGTTTTCTTGAAGCGCGGTAATTGATTGAAGTTCATTCTACCACCACGTTTGGCAATATATTTAATTAAATCGATTGCATCCTCCCATGTTTTATCAGAAAGTTTACGATACAAGTCTTTGAATCCTTCACGTTGAGCCACATAATTGCCAAAATAAGTTGACATTAATAAATATTCAAAACTGGACTCTATATTAGCATTGGCATATGATTGAAGATCTGCTTGAAGCAAATCGATAGCTCCATATTTTGCATTACAGTTGGGAATCAATGCACCATCTAAATGCAGAAGTATTTATGAATTTATAAAATATAAATGGAATTTAATACATTATTTTTCAAAGTATTAAATATTTTTATACCATTCGAAGTGGGTCTATTGCTACAAGCTCCTTCCACATCGGAATAACAAAATTCAGCAGAGGCAACTGCCAAAACAATAGATAATATCCCAAAGAACAACATGTTTTCTGTAATTTTAAGTAAAAAAAAGAGACAAAACATAAGTGACTCTTTTATGGATAAATTATTAAGACAATATATAAAAAGAAGTAACTATTTATATGTAACATCTACTTTTAGATTCAAAGTTAAATAAATTTTATTTCAAATTATGAATAGAAATTCTAGATTTATTCATAAGAGCAGAAACAAATAAATTCAGAAATAAAAATAAAATCAAAAAAACAGTAGCTGAATGATTTATTCGTTTCTGCTTTTATGAATAAATTTACGAATTCTATTGGTTATTCGAAATAAAATTTACTTAACAATCGAACATAATATAAAAATTTAAATAGATAAATAAATGTTTATTCGAGGTCTGTTCGGCTGCAAAGTAAAAATTAAATAAAGCTACTTATACTTAGACTATTATTACCTTCGGTTGAATTCAATTAATTTACGAAATGCACTAGCCGTTACGTTCAAGATAAGCAGAAAAATTGATAACAGAGAATAACACGCGATAGCCTAATTACTGATGTAAATTAAAGCTAATAGAGTATAACCTAAGGTCCAACATATATCGCTGATTCGGCTACAATCTACAGACGTCAGTTTATTACTAAAAAAGAAATTGTGACGCTGTAGATATCAGACATTGCACAGTGGAACCGTTATTGTTATATTGAAATGCGCAGTACTTTTATGCATAGAGTGTAAAGGAAAAAAAATAGAAGCAGAATTACATGCGCCGAAAACAGATTGTTTCTTTCGTCTTCTATTTATACATAAAATTTGTATAACTCTATTGCAATGAACAGTAAAGTTAAATTCTTCATATTACATACCTGTTCAAACGATGTGCTCGTTTAAAAGGAAGCAACGTGAATACTCTCGCTTCGACGTTCTTCCAACAATGAACACTGAATAACACCCTTCGTTGGTAGTTTTCACACAGTCATAGTCAGCTGATATGAAGAGCGCATGCGCGGTAGAAAGGGAATAGAAGTTTCCAGTTACTCCCCGTCGATTACAGTACGAATGGTACGCATTTGTTGGCCAATTATTAAATGATCGATGGCCGTACATCGTGTTTAGTTCACGTACGTTCACTTATCTAGCTTCAGTAAAGGCAGCCTTCTATACCAGTGCGTATAAAGGTTGCTCCCGAAACACGCAATAACAAGTACTCTTGCGTATTTTTCAATTATAACCTCCAAAAGCAATCTACGATGAAGTTGCTGTACTTCCTTTTCACCGCTTTTCTTTGCATCAGTGGATCACTAGGAGATGGACTTACATGTAAGTCTATTATTTATTTTTTTTTTTTACCTGTAAACTTACTTTTTCTGACTGATATATTCAGCCGCAAATACTAATTAAGGTTACCGTTGTAATTCCTTAATAGATCCCATTGTCCTGTATCCATTCCATTTCTGTGATCGATGTTGTTGTCCTTGAATAAACCCATTTTGCGTTTCTTAAATACATGCCAAATATGCAGGTACGAAGCATTTATTAATATTAAACGATTTAAATTAGAATCTAACATAGCTCGCGAAATGACATGCCAATTAAATTGTCAGAGCAGTAATATTTGTGCTTGTCAATATTAAAGAAAACACAGGTGTTCTTAGAAGCAGTATTTAAAAATATTTTCAATAATATAAAGAAAGTAATGTAAATAGTGAAATTAGTACTTGGCTCACAATAAATTATAAAAAAAATTGTTTCTTTAACCTTCTTTTGGTAGAAAGAAAAACTGATGTATTATCCTAAAATCAGATTTCACCATTGAAGTATTTTCTAGATTAGTTACTAATATTACTTTTGCATATTGTAAATCACACACTAATTTCATTATGTATATCTTCTTCTAATTGTACATAACTTCAACTTATTTTGAAACTATGATGCTTCATATAAAGTTCTGTAAAAATATATTTCCAAACTCTCCTAACTTTACTTTCATTGATTTCTGTGAAAGATGAATATATTATTCTTTTATGTTTTTAAGTACTCATTGTTATTTGTATAACTTATCAGTAGTGATATATCCTTTGTTACAGACTTTATACTTATTAGTCATTGTATGATTTCATGGTTTTTCCCTTGTGTTATTCACATCTATAGATGTTATCGGATGTTTGTTACTCTACATATTGTGCAAATGAGTGAACATATGATGCAATTCATGCAATGATGTCATTATTGAATTCCATTGTCTATTTCATTTTATTCAGTTGCTTATCTTTCTGGGCATTTTTACATAGTTAACTCTACAACTGCTACATTCTAGGAAGATTGAGACAATTTTTTGTACTATTTATTCCAAATACTTTATTAACCTTGGTGTTTATAAAAGTTTCATATATCACATGGCACCATCAATATTTTTATTAATCTTTTGACCTAATTGAAAATTATGATTTCATAAAGTACATGTGGAAGATAATTTTCAATAGGTCATCATTAATGAAGAAATATTATTAAAGCTACCAATAAATATAAATTTAGAATAAAATTATCATATACAATTTTTTTTATTTTACGTTGTAAATAATATTTTAGTAAAGACTTGAAATATAAAACTAATTTTTATTTCCTAAAATTTATCTAATTATATTTGTTCAACATTTACATTTACTTAAACTTAGTAATTGTTTTAGAGAAAATAAACTAGATTAGACATTGTACAGTTATGATACATATTTTTATTATCCATGAATAGTTTTTTATAAAAATGATTTGGTGGCAAATTTGTACGCCAAAGGATGCACTAAAAGTCATTCTACATGAAGTGAGACTCCAGAATGTGTTAATTATTGGTTATTATTGACAATCTTGTTTTCAGGGTGATAACATTTGATAAGTTTTACGTGACAATGTGAACGTTTTGATTACTGCATGTTCTAAAGTCCACATTGAATTTGTATGTGTGTTGTATGCTGTTCTGGGAAGTCAGATAACTCAATTGAAACTACTGTGTATCATGGACTTCCTTTCACATTATTTCACTATGAAGTTTTGTTTGAATTTAAATAATGATTAACATTATTATTTCTTTTACTTTGATATTAATTATATTAAAAATAATTTTATATTTATTTATTGAAATAACTACTATGCCATTAATTAGTACTTATACTAAAGTTTTTATATAATGTACTAATCAATATTTTAAGAAATTAAAATTTAATTAATTATGGTATACATTAATTTAAATTAATGAACTTGATTTTGTACATGACTGTATTGTACAGACACTAGAGATAATAAAGGAAATGAAGTGCTAAAAAAATAATGATAAAGAAGTAATCTAGTCATACACGCCTTTGTAATTATCAAAGATAAATGAATGTAATCTTATCTACAACAAAAATTGTCATTATAACTGATGATCATCTCAATAGATTACATTTTGAAGCTATACTAATTTCTTCAATAATTTCTTCAATAATAACTTACATAATCACAATGTAATTTCTTATAATAAACTATATTTTATCCAATAATGTTACGTATTTGTATTTGTAGGTACACTTAAACCTGCTGATATACCGAAGTTATGGTTGGACATGGTTGAACCATGTTCAAAAATTTTAGAAGCCCAGGTCAAAGTAGAAGTTGAAGCTGCTGTAACTTATCTTGCAATGGTAATTACATTAGTTTTTACTTTTTCATAGTACTTTTTGAAAATTTATACATGTTTCATCTTGTTACAGGGTGCTCATTTTGCCCGTGACACGATTAATCGTCCTGGATTTAGTAAGTTCTTTTTCAATGCTGCTAATGAAGAAAGAGAACATGCAATAAAAGTCATTGACTACCTATTAATGCGTGGCCAGCTAACAAATGATCCGAGCAAACTTTTGAAATTCCCCTTGGTATATATCTAATATTATTTTTCAAATTGTAAGCCATATAATTGCAATTCAATAAATTAAAAATATGTAACTACCACTTCTAGAGCACAAAGCGTGAAGAATGGAAGAGCGGTCTTGAAGCTCTTACAGATGCTCTTAATTTGGAAACTAAAGTTACGCGTAATATTCGCGACATTATTATAACGTGCGAAAATCCAAAATCTGTCTCCTTCAATGATTACCATGTAAGTCAAGTTACTTGTATACTCGTGTACATAGAAATTGATGTTTCAAACTTATTGAATTGTATTTAATAAATCGTTTAATTTTAGCTGGTAGACTACCTCACTGGAGATTTCTTAGATGAGCAATACAAGGGACAACGTGACCTAGCTGGAAAAATCTCAACATTAGGTAAAATGATGACAACTCATGGACCGTTAGGAGAATTCCTTTTTGATAAGAAACTTTTGAATGATGAAATTTAATCTGTATTCGATCAACAAAATCTTTTTTCAATAAATGTGTATGAAATTATGGCCATATTTAGAATAAAGCATATAACTTTGTTTAGTTTAATTATACCTTGATACAAGAAATATAAATTTTATTCCATATAGAATATTTTTCTAAATATGGTCTGTAATATAGATAAACAAAAAACCCTATTTACAAATGTTTGTTAATCTGTAATAAATATATTACTCATAAATGAAATAAATATTTTAAGATTCATATAAAAATGTTTAGTGGATTGTTTATTATATTCATTAGAATGCATATAAAATATTTGTATATAACATTCTATTACTGCATATAAATATAAAGCATTTTTACATTACAGTTTCTATAATTGAAAACAAAATTGTTGAAAAGTATAATTTTTAATTTATAGAAATATCATACTTTTGACTATGTAGTAATAATTTTGCTCAATGAAATATAAAATACAATATACACTTGCAAATTTGTTCATTATTACTTTACCATTATACACTTTCTCTGAGTGGAATATGACATGGTATATCACATTCATACAAGTATGTGCATAATTTAATGCAAAACACATACTGATATATTCAGTAAATATGAATTATGAAAACAAGGGTTCCGAAAATTAAATGTTTCAGTAATCTTTTGTAAGAAATATTTAAGTGTAAAGAATTTTATTTGTTCCATAATATTACTCTTATTGATTTAATTCTTATTTTCGGTGGGATATTCCAGATATTAAAAGCGATTTCATATTAACTAGCAATATTTATTGAGGTCGCGTAATCACTTCGGTAAAGTTTTTGTTAGTTTTAATAACCTATGTACATCAACCTACATTATAGTTTTTAGGAACTTTGTACCAATCATAGCTGTAATCTGTGATATACAAATAAACAATTTACTAAAGGGTAAACCTGGCTACAATTAAGAAAGGAAAGAATTTTATCTTTTATCTTCATATGTCTCGTTTAAGGATCATTTTCCATACTATCTTGATTACTCTTAAATAATTAATAAGTATTACCATTTTGACGTTGCGATATTGACAATATTTGTTTATTCGATTGTTTGTTAACTTTCTACAAATAATTTATACATTTTGGCACTCCCGGTATAAAGTCTGAATCAATAGCAACATTCAAAGACCATTGTTGTTACGATTTCGATTAAAATTAAATAATTATAAACATTTTTCGAAAGCGTTCATGCGAGAGAGAACACACTAATGTGCAACAATGATAGAGCTATGCGCATAGTGCGAGAGAGAACGCAACAGTGTTTACTTTATGTCTCTCTTTCTGAATGTATATGTGCGTTTTCAATAGTTCACTTTCTATACTAGGATCTTTAGTATGAACCACCCTAGGATAATGGCTTTGTACTTGCTTGTACCTCATAATAAATAACGACGATAACTATCATTTCGTATCTCAATTTCCCATAGAGTTTACAATACAGTTTTTACAACTTTGTGCATATTGTAATCTTTACCCATCTCTTTGTGTATACTCCTTAATGATTCCATGACAGTCAAGTAGTCAATTCAGTAACTGCCAGTAACCACCAGTAACCATGCATGCATTCAATCTGGTTCAACCAATCATAAGAAAGCAACCAAATTCGTTATTTTAAAACAGAAGACGGGAAGAGGTACACGACATTTGTTATAAGAATTGTAATTTCTGTTTTTGTTGTAAGTATTTAATTTAGTATTGTCAAATTTACATGGTGTAAATAATTAGAATATAATGAATGTACATAATTACTTTTAGAAATATTTAGTCGTATACAAAGTTCCTGAACCATTTTCTCGACAGATTGACCATTTGTGTGTCGAAGTCTGCGGTATTCAGCATTACAGGTAACAGAGGTCATTTATTTAACATTTTCATGTTACAAAAACGACTTTAAAATGTAATAAAAATTTTTTTATAAGTTAAAATGCTTTTCGACTAAAATAAAAAAATTAAATTCATACGATTTATATTTTTAGAAATAAAAATTCATTTGTACATCCCCTGTTCTCATAAATATAATTAAAAATCATTTTTGCAGCGACCTGTAATTAAATATTGAATTTTCTAGATTTTTAATTATATAATGTTTTGTAAATACATTTTTCCATGATATTCACATTATTTCTAATTGCAGGTAGTACTTGGCAGCTTCAGCGATGCTAAAAAACAGAAATACAAATTCTCAACCACAACGAATAATTCCAGAAGTGTGTAACAATTTTAAACAACTACAGATATCTAAAGTGCCATCAGTATTAAGTGAAAATATATCAAATAATACTGAAAAATTAGATAGTGCTTATTTAACAAAGAATAAAGAAGTTGAAGACAACGCAAAAAAGTCCACAGAATTGATGCCACCACCTAAATTACCTTTATATTCTAAAACAGTAGCACATATATCAAATAAGATTGATGATGGAAATGATAAGGAAAATAAAAATAACAAGAACATAGATGCTGAGAAAAACAAAGAACAGAACAATGGGAACCATAAATATCAAAATGAAAAGAAATGGGTATTATCAGATTTTGATATTGGCCGTCCATTAGGAAAAGGAAAGTTTGGAAATGTTTACCTGGCAAGAGAAAAGAAGTCAAAATTTATTATTGCTATGAAAGTGTTATTTAAAGCTCAGATACAGAAGGCTGATGTAGAACACCAAGTTAGAAGAGAAATAGAAATTCAGACACACTTGAGGTAATATTCTGATTATTTATAATATACAAGGAATATTAATAGTTACTTATCTTTTAAATACAGGCATCCAAATATTTTAAAAATGTATGGGTATTTCCATGATGACAAGAGGGTGTACTTAATTTTAGAATATGCTCCAAATGGAGAATTATTTAAAGAGTTAAATGCCCAACCAGAGAAACGTTTTGATGAAGTTAGAACAGCAACTTACATATCTCAGTTAGCAGATGCATTAAAGTATTGTCACAGTAAAAAAGTCATACATCGTGATATTAAACCTGAAAATTTATTGCTTGGAATAAAAGGTGAATTAAAAATGGCAGATTTTGGATGGTCTGTTCATGCACCTTCTTCCAGGAGAAACACTCTATGTGGCACTTTAGATTATTTGCCACCTGAAATGGTTGTTGGAAAAACACATGATCACACTGTGGATTTATGGGGACTTGGAGTTCTTTGTTATGAATGTTTAGTTGGTACTCCACCGTTCTTAGCTCAAACCTATGATGAAACCTATGTAAAAATCAAGAAAGCCCAATATAAATTTCCAGACTATGTTAGCGAAGGTGCTAGAGATTTAATATCTAAGGTGAGCTATTTTTCTTTGTCTTCAAAAGTTTAAAATATCTTCACTAAAAATGAATAAGTTAAATATAAATTATTATTTATTAAATAAGAATCTTGTAATAATTATTTATTTTTAATGTTCTTTCTTTTCCAGTTATTAGTTGTTCATCCAGATCGAAGGTTGCCGCTAGAGGATGTATTAAAACATCCATGGATTATACAAAATCGAACTACAGAACCACATGTTCAGTGATAAAGTAGTAAATTTTAATGTGATTTTTTATTAGAAATCACTAGAATTACTTTTATTACAACGAACTGTATTCATACCTTATGGAATATGTTATACTATTATAATATGAGATGGGTATATATATATATTCTTTAGGGTGTACATTTAACTAATTATTCTATTTTTATTTAACGGAACTGTTATTTTTAAAAGTATAAACTTAATATAAAATTAGCATTTACGACTTATTAGTTTCTTAAATTTAATGAAATTTAATACAGAATTCAACTTGGACCATTTATTTGTACCAAACTGAAATGTAAGTAACTGTTTGGAATGAAAAAGATGTGATACATGACAAAATTGTGAAATATTAAACTTTTTTAATATCAATAAAATTTGTTTAATAAAAAGAAAGAACTATTTATGAACACAATAGCAAATGATTTATTGTGAAGGATTTTACTGGAACTTATAGTTTTATAGGTAGAAATGGACAGAAGTTTATTTGATGATGATGAATAGAAACTTTATATAAAGATTTATTCGCAACGTTTATTTAATTAAAAAGTTATTTAGGTAAATTGTCATTCATTCAATATGAAATTTATTTTGATGTACAATTCGGATTTTTACTTTTATCGAAGATATATTGGATCAACGGGGCTGTATCTTTTATTCTTTATTTATTATTCATAACCTAGATTACAGACAAACGCCAAACTTATAACAGATTTGAATTTGAACTCATTGGCGTAAAGTAATTTGGATACTTTTTTCAACCGAGAGTCGCGCAAAATTAGAATAATATCACGTTGCAATTGCATATTAATGCTATAATTAAATCAATAAGAGTAATCCTTTTTTCATATCCAATTGATACTCGTAAGTGCGAATCAATCTACAATGGAATACATCTATACAAGATAATGGGTTGCTCCATGTTTAAAAACTTATTGCACAGTTCTTGATTCCTAAAACATTTATGTTACTAAAAAAATTAAGTTCGATCGAGTGTTGTTATAAAGATAGAATATCGTTTGTTTTGTCGCCATGAAGGTAATGTAACTATTTAAGTTACTCAAGAATATATCGAACGTAAATTTTATTTAACTTTATAAAAATTTCATAATTACATTAATAGTTATGAAAAATTATTCAGACAGTTTTTGCAGCGCATTGTTTAATATTTGAAAAGAAGTATTTTTAGCTTTTACTTTTAAACTGTAAACCAGAATCTAATGTTACAACTACGTTTTTGCTCATCAAAGATGAACGCTAAAGTGCCTCAACTACAAAAATAAAGTCAAGGCAAATAGTGTACATTTTTTATATCAAATTCATCAATTTTAAAGAGTATTCTGTATTGGAAGATTTTTACGTAAACATTTAGTACTTTTATTTCACGTTTCCATGGGCTCCATAACTACATCCACTATAACTGCATCTGTCGGAGTTTCCATAAGAGTATCATCCGACTTCTTCTTAATTGAATATAATTTCTTCAGTTTTTCATAATGTTTGATATCCTGCAAGATGTAACATGTTCTTATATTTCTATTTCCAGACGAAAAAAGCATATTCAATTTTATTAATGACAGGTGATAATATTTACTTTTTCTTGTACAGATGGCCTTATTTTATCAAATGCAGACAAAATATGCCGCATAGAAATCTCTGATTGACCTGTATAATGTATATCCAATAATTCTCTTAATGCTTCTACTCCGGCTTCTCTGATCAAAGCTGCTAAATCTGCTCCAGTGTAACCATCGCACTTATTATTGTATCCTATTTGTTCAAGGTTTACATCTGCAGCTAATTTTGGTTTAGTTGCATTCTATAAATGTAAATATTTTTATGAAAAATATTAACTACTCAAGAACTTATGAGATTAATGATTGACGTATGAAGTACCTTTGTTAATGCTCTTAAAATATCGACGCGATCTGATGCAGTAGGTAAGTCAACATATAAAATTTTATCCAATCTTCCCGGTCTCAGAACTGCGGGATCAATAATATCAGGTCTATTGCTTGCAGCCATTAAAAATACTCCTTGACGGCCTTCTACTCCATCCATTTCTGTAAGCATTTGGTTAACAACACGAGAAGTAGCAGAATTATCACCCTCAGATCGTCTTGGACATAAAGCATCTAATTCGTCAAAAAATATAACACAAGGTGCAGAATTCCGTGCTCGGAGAAAACATTGTCGAACTGCTTTTTCACTTTCGCCAACATACTGAAATAAACAAAACAAAATATTTAATAATTGTACTTTACTTGATTTAATCCATAACGCGTTGTATTGCATCGTAGTGTTATGTATGACTATTTTAATTAATTAAATTATTACCATATTCAAAAGTTCTGGTCCTTTAACAGAAATAAAGTTGATTCCAGCTTCATTCGCAATAGCTTTGGCTATCAATGTTTTACCACAACCAGGTGGACCACATAATAATACTCCAGTGGGTGCTGTTAATCCTAAAGCTGTAAAATGTTCGGAATGCCGAACAGGAGCCTAGAATATTAAACAAAATAAAACGTAAAAAAAAAGTATTGTTTCATTAACACGTTTAAACATTCACGAAGATAAACGTAAATACACTTACTAATATTGCCATTTGTAATTCCTCTCTAATATCGCGTAGAGAACCGACATCGTCCCATGTAACATCAGGTACAGTTGCGAAACCTTCTCTTTTTGCTGATGGTTGAATAACGCGAAGTGCTGTTTCAAAATCACTGTGTTCGATGCGTAAATTTGTTAATCGTTCTGAGGGAATTGGTGGATCATTGCGTAGCCAAGTAAGTAACCCTGCTAAATCTGGGGACTTTGAGATTTCTTGTACATCCATCTCTACTGTCGCTTGTGGACTTTCGGGATTACTCGGTTTGTCTAACTTAGAAACGTTATTTTGCTCTGAGGTAGGCGATTCAACAGTTACTTCTTCGACTAAATTACCAGAGTTTTCAAAGTTCTGTGTTTCTTTTTCGGTGTCACTACTAACATCTCTTGTTTCCACTGATTTAGAATCTGGTTCTGATCTATTTAAATCTTCAAGGATCCTAAAAACAACAAATCAAAAAAGGTATAATTCATCATAGTGAATAAATTATTCTTTGAATATACATAAAATATTGAAAATAATTACCTATCTACTGCTGCCATAGCCGCTTCACGAATCAATGCAACTAAATCAGCCCCAACGAAACCTGGTGTAAGTGAAGCTATTGTAGATAAACTAACATTAGGAGCAAGTGCGACTTTTTCTGTGTGCACAGTTAAAATGTTCGTTCTTGCATCTCTGTCTGGTATTCCAAGACATACTTCATGATCAAAACGACCAGCTCTTCTCAATGCTGGATCTAATGAATCAGGCCGATTTGTTGCTCCAAGTACTAATACCCCAGTACCATTCTCTTTTAAACTCAATTCTATTAAACGAAGTATTAATGTTTTTCTTTTAATCAAACTGAAAATTAATATCATGTATGATTTAATAATAGTAATAATTTACCATCCAAACATGATAATAATTGCGCAACAATTCTCCTTTCCATTTCTCTCTGAGCGGTAGCTCTATGTGGTGCTATAGCATCGATTTCATCCAAAAAAATTACACAAGGTGAAAGTGCAAGAGCCTGATCAAACAATTCCCTTATCCGTGCTTCACTTTCACCTGATACTCCAGCCACTAGTTCAGGTGCAGCTACTTTTTTCAAAGGTATACCTAATTCCTAATGTCAAAAAAAAAAAAAAAAAAAAAAAAAACAATTACTAACTGTACAAAGTAGAATATACTTATTTACAATCAAAACTTACTCCTGCAATAGCATGACCTAATAATGTCTTTCCACATCCAGGTGGGCCATGAAGTAAAAATCCTCTTGGCGGTGATATCCCAAGCTGTTTAAAAATTTCTGGATGCTTTATGTGTGCAAGTAATTTACATACAGTTTTTAATACTTTATCACATCCTCCTATATTTGAAAATGTGACTTTTGGTTCAGAGAAAGGTGATACAGATACTCCTTTAATTTTCTTTGTATATATGTATTGACTATTGTCTGTATCATTATCCCGTTTTCGTTTTCTTGTGAAATGTTCTGTTGATGTAATCTGTCGCGTTTCTTTTGCAGGCTGCAAACATATATTGTACTTACATAATGTAAACTTAATATAGCATTCATTTATTAATGTTCTTGAGCTAGATAGTATCAAACAATAATAAATTTCAAAAATTTATTAAATATAAGAGGAAGGTTAAGATTTACTGTTTTTGATGATTCAATTTCTTTAGCAGGTTCTGGCTTTTCTACACATGAAGATGGACCAGCCATTTCCTGTAGACCCTTTTCTGTAGCCTCGGATTCATTTGTTTTATTACAAGAATTTGATTCCACTTTGCTTGCATCATCATCACTACTAATATCTATCAGCTCTTTGTCACTAGAATTTCCATTCTGCTTGTTCTGTGACATTTTATACATTTTTAACAGTATACCACTCATAGTATTTCGAGTATCTGACTAAAACCAATAACTATCTTTTAAAACCTGCTGTTATAAATAATATTCAAATAACATGTACATAAATACTTCAACATCGACTTCATCTTCATCATCTTCATCGTCGCAAGCAGACCAATCTCGAGCACAATATTTGTTTGCAAACATTTCTGTAAGTTCATCATACGCTGTGCGTACTAAAGCCCTAAAGGGACCCCGCTTCTTTAATCGATAATCACGATACTTTTTTTGTAAAGCATCTGCCATTTCATTCACATCGATGTAGACTTTACTTTCATTTTCATGCATGTACTGCAAAATAAAAAGATCCAATTATTGTAAGTTTACACAGTTATAGATATTACAAGATATAATACTACCTAACATATCAAACATTGAATGAAAAATCATAATCAACCTAATGAAACTAAAACATATCTTGCAAATAGCAAAATAAATAAATTATTTTATTTTCAAATTGGGGCCATTATAATTAACATAAATACTATTTTATTTACATTCGCTTCAACATTTGCTATTCGAAATAGTACTAAATTTGTTAATTACAGTAGTATTTAGAAATAATCACGTCCGTTACGTATATGACAACAGAAACATTTAATGAACGTTTTAAATAGCTTCTAAATTTGCCATGTTGCTTATAATTGTCAAATATAAATTTACCGCGCAAAGTACGCATTACAGGCATACAGGTTTTACGTATAATCGAGTAAGATAACTTAATGTTAGACAAATAGCGAATTACCGTTTGCACGCGTGAAATTAATAACTGATCCCGTAGAAATCTGTGAGAGTTATCAATTTTGTGTTTATTATTCATGGTCTTCGATTTATAATCTCCGCTAGATCCTTGTAGCGGAATAATATCAATCGACGAATTCAATTTCCCAACCTTCTGCATTTTTCTTATATCAGAAGACATGAAGCCACTTTCATATGGATCAAATAACCATTAGATTTTTATCCTCGTTTCCTTATATCTTCCAATACGAGTTATCATACAAACACTAAAGTTCATTCACTATTTCATTTCTCAAACTAGATACGAGAAAGAATGCAACGTGCACACATGCAAACATGAATAATTTCGACGACGAGTAATATTGAAAGTAGTTGAAAGCTAGAAGTAAGGAAAATAACATAGAGTGAAACATATATACAAATTGTTTTTCGATGAATTTGTTGCATATCAACGGAAATTATTAAATTGTTTGCTCTGCAATGTATTATATTACAAGATGGTAAAAAAATGTAAATTTAATTGTTTATTTTATATAAAATATCATTATGTTATAAGAGTGACTCGTATGAAGCGTTTCAAGCTACTATACATATACGTATATATAAATGATCAAAGTACTAATACAATTTTTTCATGAAAGTTTTAACGTCAATTTTTCAATTATTGTTGCGTTTTCTTATGAAATTTCAACCTTGAGATGGAAATCGACCTGCAAAAGTTCTTCAGCCATGTTACTTTGATCAATCTTTAGCGCTATGTTACTACGTATAACAATCATTTACCATAGACATAAAAATATAAAGATAGAGCATAAGTTATCAAAGTTTCATATATACATACTTTTTTGTCAATATAATGTACATAGAGTTATAAAATAGTTAATTGTCATTTAACATAAATAGTAATTTATGTAAATTCTATTCAATTGGTATGTAGTATTGGGGAATAATCTCATGGAAAACGGCCCTACGGTATAGACATATATAGTGATAAACAAAGGAAATTGCAGTTAACATGCAGCGCACTGCAACGGTAGATTTTAGAAGTATACCCGGTTGAATTTTTATGGTCATTGATGGTCTTCCTTCATCATATGAAATGAAATATCCAATGAAATGATCGTTTCATCGGAGTTGACGTTGGTCGACGTCAAGATATTTGATTTTGTTGGATATGAGCAATATATTTATTATTTTACAAAAAAGTAGAATTTAAAATAAGCTTTCGCTAATTGTTACTTATTGGAATAAATTGTTTTTGTTAGTCGTTGTTGTATAGAAGAAATTAGAAATAATGAGGTTGCCATTCTGAAACTGGATACAGCAAGTGTAGTATGGTGGACCTTTAATTCGAATAATACATATTATACTTGACTCGATTTGACTTTCGGTGACACAAATAATGGCCAGTCCACGGACTCGAAGAGTTCTAAGTGAACTTAAACCTAAGGATGAAAATAATGTAATTTATTCAAATAGTTCTATTACTACTATACCATATGTTGATCTAATTGCATCTCATAATTTTACAGAGATGCTTTGAATGTGGTACACATAATCCTCAATGGGTTTCTGTTACATATGGTATATGGATTTGTCTTGAATGTTCAGGCAAACACAGGGGACTAGGTGTCCATTTGTCATTTGTTCGATCAATTTCTATGGATAAATGGAAAGATTTAGAATTGGAAAAAATGAAAGTTGGTGGAAATAAAAATGCTCGTGAATTCTTTGAATCACAGCCAGATTGGGACGATAGTATGTCTATATCACAAAAGTATAATACAAAAGCAGCAGCATTATATAGAGATAAGGTAAACACATTTTATTATTAAGTATAGTTTTACATCTCATTATTATATGTTACAGTTTATTTTCCTTTCAAGTTACAAAGAAGAAAGATAATAAGATTTTAATGTTTTACAATATTTCAAGTTATAGTTTTTAATTGTTTTTCTCAAATAATTTAATGTTTGATTTGTACAACATTTTAAAACTATTAATTCAATATGTTCAATAAAATTCATAAAAACCATATAATTGAATATGATAATGTGTTAGAATAGAAGCTATATTTTGTATAAATAATTATATATATAACTATTAGATTGCAGCGTTAGCTCGTGGACAAAATTGGAGTCCCACTAACTCTACAGCTAAAGATTTCCAGCCTTCAACATATTCAGGAAGCCAACAAGATTATACATCATATCAAAGTGATGTGTCGAGTTCTTATCAAAATTTTAATTCAAACAGTTGTAAATCTCAAACAGAAGCCTTCTTTGCTAGGAAACAAAATGAAAATGCCAATCGCCCTGAGTAAGTATAAATTTTCACATTGACTAGTTTACATGGTTCAAATTAATATATTAGCATATTAATTTATTGACATTTATATAAATTACAAACGTGATTACATTTAGCATAATTGACAATAAATAATTACACTTATTTACAATGCAATAATATATACATTCATAAAAATTTACACAGTAATGTTCCACCTAATCAGGGTGGTAAGTATGGAGGATTTGGTTATCAAATGGACCCACCACCTAGAAGCTCATCACAAGAATTTTTTGACACTGCAGTTTCTTCATTAGCAAGTGTAAGATAACTATTTTTGTATCATATTTTATAGATATATAGATATAGGTATCCTATTTAAATGGGTACATTTAATTGTTTATATTATGTAGCAATATGTAAAACAACTATTCAGTACAAAGCAAATTATATAAACATAATTTGTGGGATGATATTTTAGGGATGGTCAATGTTTTCTTCATCTGCATCAAAGATAGCAAGTAAAGCTACAGAAAATGCTATTAGAATTGGAGAACTAGCAACACAGAAGGTAAACATAATACATTTTAAGTGAACAAATATTTTGGTTTTAACAAAATTGTTGTAACTCTTATTTAATTATATAAATGATTTATAGTATTTGCATACTATTTGTTGCAAATTCGTTATGTTTTATTTGATTATGCTTTAGTGATTTTATTTTTTTTTAGATTTATTTATTATTAAATAGTATTTTTCACTTATGCTTTGATTTTTCGTTTCGTTTCATTATGTTTTTGCTAGGTTCGTGAGGGTACTTTGTTGGAAGATGTTGGAGCTCAGGTTAATAGTTTAGCTGCAAAGGTAGATAGTTGAATATTGAATATTTTTATTATTAATGACACACGTTGATTAGATATTTTTACATTTTGTAGTACAATTAACAGATTGTCATTCCTTTTACAATTAAATATTAAATACACAGGTTGGAGATTTGGGAAGAAAAGGATGGGGTGATATTGGAGGAACAAATTCGATTGAACAAAATCTATATAATTCAAAACAAAATTATCAGAGTTCTTCTTCTGTTTATCAAAATAGTGAAGTCCAATCATATTCTACTGAAAAAACATCTTTAATGAAAACATCACAGTCAAAGTAAGTTAGCTATTTTGTTTATCATATGTAGAAAGTTTAATACGTATATGTATGTCATAAATTAACATGAGGAATTTGAGGATTTAATTCTCATTTTCTTACATATAATTTATTAACATAAAACACATAAGTTTATTACATTTCAGAACTAATGTATCACCTACAAATTCTTCCAATTGTGAGTGGGATTGGGGTAGTGATACAAAACAAAGTAATGAAAAGATAACAGACATTAAACCAACTATGAGGAAATCTAAAGACAAAGTAAAGGAAGAAGCTTTAATCAACTTTGGTACTGATAATCATACACCTAGTTGGGATCCAAAATTGGAGGATGACGCATGGGAAATATTAAAAAATTAATCATTATTGAATAATTAGGTAATTCTTATCGAAGTTCAAGATCTTCAAATGATTTCTCTATCATATAGATTTTGAATTCATATAATGTAATATAATGACAATTATTAAAGTGAAAATATTTTTATTCAATACTCCACCTTTTTGCCATGAAAAATGTACGCTGGTACATTCTATGAGACACTTGATGTTCATTTACGAGTAATATGCGTACGTACTTCAAGCATTTGAGAAAATGTATGGAATACGCTCAAGAACTTTAAGTGCTGTACTGTCAATGTACACTAAATTGTAAAGGTTTATTAGCATTTACTTATACGCTGTTTCTGCTCAGTTTTGTTTACCTATGTATTTACTATACCTTCAAACTATTACTAGGTTTATTAAAACTCATTTTTTTAATACATAAATATAAAATTACTTTACTTTTCATGTATCGTACAAATGAATTTTGTGTAATTATTATTTATAGTTATTACAACAATTACTCATATTAGAAAATATTTTAATACAGTATATTATCATCTTAAGAACTAGGCCTGTACTAGTTGGATCCTGAATACATTCGCCGCCATGTCGGTACCACTAACATCAAATGAATCAGTTATCATATATTACCATTTATATATCTGTAAGACTATAATTATGATTGATAACGAAATAACACACAAAGTATCAAATGTATTAATAAGCATTAGCGAACATAATTTCATTTAGTTTCATATTCCAATCAAGTTCTATAAACTACGTGTTCTAAATGAGGGAAATCAATTATAATGGAGTTAGAACAATGCAAAATCCCCTTGTATGAGAACGTATGAACGTGTTAATGTAAACGTTTGGTACAGGTATCAATATCTCTAGTATATCTTGTATATATTCGTGAGAATTAATCTTTAATATAAAATATTTTTAACAGAAACAGATCTGTGCCTTGTAGAATAATTTCAATTTACTTTACTATTAAAAATTCATAACTGTTCGTATTGTGTTATCAGCTTTTCCTTATATTGGTTAACAAATTTATTACAGACTTATATACAGATTGTTCCCAAAATATATGGTCAAACTTTACCAACCTTACTTTATTCTTGTCCTTTAGCAAGAAAACGTAAAAATAACAATACATTTTCTCTAAATTTCATTAAAATTAATATGTACCACTTCATGTTCTACATGTTCAAGTTTGTTCAAATCTTGGAATTCACTAATATAGATTTTAAAAGAATTGGTAGCATATACTGATAAAATTTGGCTGTTTTAGGAACATGTTACATAGATATGTACATTTATTACAGTAAAAACTTATTAAACAGTATTGTTGTACATAAATATATACTAACTAAAATTATAATTTTACCACGAATGTACATTTTTCCCTGGATATACTTTCTTTATGTTTATTCTATTGTAAGCTCTTCCAACATATTCCCAAAGTTCTTTCTGACATTTTGGCCACGATTTGTTTTCAACTTTTGATAAAGAAGAACAAAGCATATTCCTATCTTTTCGTGATAGATCAAAAAATGATGTTTGCTCAAGACATGAGTGATAAAGAAACTTATAAATTGCTCTAAAATAGAAAAAGTATAGTTATGTTATTATTTGTTGTGATTGCAATACATTGACAAAGTTTTTGCTCCTAGTGAATAGCAATGCAAACGATAAAAATGACCCATACTTAAAATCATAGCCTTCTACTTCAGATGGTGATGGGTGATTTTCAAATAATTGTATAAATAATAGTGCTTCTGGTATGAGACTATCGCCAGGTTTGTATGAACCACAATTCAACCAATTGTTTAACAGTTCATTTTCTTGTAATTCTTCTGCCATCCCTGAATATTCTGCAATCTTTGATTTAATTGCCTCAGGAGGTATGTGTAGTAATGTATTTGATATAGCTGTGATATTTTCAGATCCATATTTCTTAAGAGCTTCTAATAATATTCTTTTATCCCTATTACTCCACTTAATACTTGACCTGGATTCATTTCTACTCTCTACTTCACTTTTATTGCTTATCTGCTCTTTCCTTTTCCGTAAATTTCTTTTCCTTTTGACAACATCCATTTTTAGATTCAACGACATGTAAATATTATATTATTCTATTTTGTTTTCCATTATATACCACAAAAAATGACAAAATGAAAATATTTGTCAAACTATATCGCCATAAAGTACATAAATAGTTAAGATCAGCAACGCGGCAACGCTATATAATATACTTTATTCAGTAAGATTATGGACCTAGTAACAACCTCAAATGCACGTGACTTACGACAGAGACGAAATGGCAAAGTGTTGTGTCTCTAATGTTATGCAAGGTACTACTTAAATATGATTACAATTCTATTATAAAAGAGTAATTACGAAAAAATATACAAAAACATCAAATAAAAATAATACAAATATCCACTATACGTCAGATTTACGTATACTCTTGGTCGGAGATAACGGACCAATGAACTTCGTCAAATCGATATTTAAACATTCTTTATTCATTGTAGCAATTTATCAATTTATTACACCAAGAATATTTGTAATTCTTTTCATTAGGTTTATTTAAGTTTTAGAAACCTAATTACTGGAAAAATGTTTGTATACATAAAAATGTAGGTATCAGACAATAAATGTTCATGTATTTTTAATACAATTGTTTTATTTACAGTAATAGTGTCTTCAATGTATGAGAGTAGAACCAATGTACATCACTTAAGTTTATAATTACAGGCTAACTTACCTAACATACTTTAAATGTTCTGTTGATGTAACACTACAAGCTTCTATATCTTTTTCATTTTTATATGATCAAATTTCAACATTTTTATTCTGCAAATAATTCCACAATCAAAGAAAAATATCAATTAGGAGAAGCTAGCCTTTAATAATAAAATCAAACTATAGGTTAATATGACATCATAAAGTTAGATGATACATAATGTACAGAATATACTTAAATAGTATATACATTTAGTTAAGCATCAAATATGTTTTAAAATAAGTCTTTTCTTCAACAAACATAAATATTTCCAATTTTTATCAGAAGTACGGATATTATACACATTTCGTATTAAAGGAAATAATATAGTAGCAATATTTGTTACATATCACCACTTTGTAAAAGTGCCATTTATCAATATTTAAAGCAATCAAAGTTTTCGTGGTCGTCCTCGCTTTCTCAGTGTAGTAATTTTGCTTGTCACTGATCTTGTAGTATGTAATTTTTTCTGAATATTTGCTATGGATTTTGTATTCTTTTGTATATTTCCATGTTGTTTTAAGTGTTGTACAAAACGTAGTCTAGATTTTATTAGTTTCTGGCACACGTGACACCTATGTATTCGATCTGTAAATATAATTTGTGATATATTGTTAGGGAACATCTAGTTATTAAAACATAATAATTATGAAAAGTTAAATGTGAAGAAATGATCAAAGTTAACCTATGAAAATAAAAATTTGTAAGAAAATACATGGCTTTGTATTAATTTACCAGATTTTTTTGTTCCATGTTGAAGACAATGTGCCATTAGTAAAGCAGCACTTGGAAACCATCTACCACAATCAGAACAACTTAGTTTTTTTACTTCCCAGGTACAATTTAGTCGTTGGCTCCTTTTTCTTTTAATTTTTTTAATCATAGTTAGTTGCTTTTTTGGCTCTACAGGCTCCTTCTTCTTTTCGACTTTTATGGATGGTTGTTCAACCGACGAGTCACTAAATCTACGTTTCTTCCGTTGAGAATGTTCTGAACGTACATGACGAGCTAAAGCTACCACCACATCGAATTTCGTCTGACATATTTTACAAGCATATTGTTTCTTAATCGTATTTTCGCCTGATCTATTTGCATGCTTTACTTTCTGTTCGTTAAACCGAATTGTATTTGATGGTGATTTTGAGCAAACTCGTAAATGGGTTTCTAAAGCTCTTTGTTGCCTGAAGTTCCTTGAACAATGTTCACATTGCAGTAACATTGTTTTTGAATTTGCCTGCTGAGATTCATCATCTGAATCTCCTACCATGATAATTTCGTTTTCTTTATCGCTAGAATATTTATCTTTAGTATCATCTATGGTTATCTCAACAACATCCCTTTTAGATTGCAGTATACTTTCTTCTTCGTCGACATCAATTTCGATAATTTCAACTTCTTTGTGTTTAATCCTTTTTAATCTTTTCGAGTCGGTATGTCTTTGACGATACCCAGAATGACCTACAACTCTTCTCTTTCGTTTTCCCCTTTTCCTAACATTGTTATCTTCCTCACACAAAAGAGACGCTGGTTGTATAATTATTTCCGAATCTTCACGATTCACGAAAATTAATTGTTGTTTCCGAGATCTTTTAGTTTTACATTGCATTTGTGTTGATTTCGGTGATGTACATTCAATGGAACCGTTTGATAGATCTAAGTTCGTAGTATTCGACATTGCATCCATAGTCGATTCCGCTAGTGTTTCTAGTTCTCCTTGATTTTCTATTAAATTTAACTTTCTCTCCATTAAAGTGTTGGAATTGTGATTAGACAAATTGGAATTTGAGTTCTGAGACAATGAATTTTCATAATTGATCTCTTTAATATTTGCGAAGTTATCATGGTTTCTACTGCCTTTTTTAGTTGGTTGCTTTTTCGATGATTTCGATTCGGCTGTTTTAAAATTTTTAAGAGTAGCCTGTATTTCGTCGAATGTTAGTTCAGAATCGGATTGATCACCCTCAAATAGAATATACTGTACTGTTGATTGTTCTATAATCTCATTATCACTCTCGTTGTCTTCCTGACAATCTTCAGAATTATCCATATTTACAGAACAATCATCCATCATTAAGTATGCTACATCTGTTTGTTTGTTATCAGATGAATACATAATGTTAGGAACTTCTTTTACATTTAAATTCAAATCAGAATCTTCTATCAAAGTTGAATTTTCTTCCCATGTATTTTCTTCTTTTTGTATCCTTCGAATTTCTCTTGATAAAATTCCATTTTCATTATGGAATGGTATGCGATTTGCTTGTTCACATTTGGGAAAAAACATTGGTGGTTGTGTAGTCAATAATTGTTTTTTTATTTGTGTTGGTTTCTTTACAGTTCTAACAGCACCTTCTCCTATTAATCTTTCAACATCTGCTTTCATAAGAAACTGAAAATTTGTTGGAGGTTCACCAGATTCATCATACATTGCTACAGCAAAAATTTCATCGGAATCTTCAACTGCATACAGTGCTAGTTGTTGACCAGCGGCAGTTACAAATGTAGCAATTGTTTCTTCATCTCCATATTGATCGTCGCATGTTATTTTATTATAAGCTATTTCAGGGTCGCTATCCTCTGTCTCTGATAACAATATTTCATGTTTATAGCTATGATTTCGAAGCCACTTTTGTTTATTTATATTACTTCTTGATAATGACATAGATTCGTCAACATATTCAACAGGCATTGTTGTTTCTATACTTGCTTCAAAATATTCTTTTGGTTCACAAATAGTTCCTTCAGAGATTTGTTGATTTATGTCCATATTTTCATCAACAACTATTTCTTCACCAACAACCTATACACATTATCCATAATCAATGTTAAAGTAAATACAAAATTTAAGTAAAACATATAATTCACACAAAGAATATTGTTTAAATTTGTTTAAATATGTATGTTGAAGTATTCAATATTCTGTTACCAGTGTTTCTTCTATGTGTTCATATTTAGGTAGAACCATAAACTCTGTTGAACTCTCTTCAATCGTACATGGTGTTTGTATGATTTCTTTAGAAACCATTTTTTTGTATCTATCATCATTCATAAATGACATATTTTTGTACTGTATTTTCTATCCATCAATATCACACATTTTCAGATAATGTGTACAGACGTTGATAAAATGTAATCCCTAAAAAATAAAATTAGAAAAAATACATTCGATAACAAATTCGTGCTGATAGACTAATGATTGAACATTATCGAGGTCACTTAATATACAAGAATACTTTGTTAAAATATTGACTGATATTTGCTTAGGGTTATGCTCGTCGCAACAGTCAAGATTTGCAAGTTAATAACATCAAAACCTAATTAAATGTAAAATCTACTTTATATTTAATGAAAATCAATATGTATTACGAGTAGTCATATTTATAGCTGTATTCGGTAAAAAAAATACACAATAATCTTTTGCGAGTTTCAAATTCCATAACATCATAACCCAAATGATATAATTAATAACGGTAATTCTAGAACGTATATTTAATTCTGCGAGAATTCTTTAACAATCACTGAATTCTGTGTTTTACATATCAAAATATAGAACAATGGATAAAACTATTAGATTTAACACAAGCTTCCGTTTCCCACTTTACGACATACATAATATATTAGATGCACAGGCACACAGAACTTATGTTACTTATGCCTTATACACATGTGCAAAAACACAACTAAAAGCATACGGATAATACACGTTTACGTATATAGAAAAGTAGTTTTGAAGTTATTACACGTTTCTAGTCCACTATTTTATCAAGGAGTTTTGATTTGTTAACACGAGTGTCATTCTGTTTTTCTATGTAACTATATAATAGACGAAACAGTTAAAAATAACCATTTCGACAGAAATACAGCTGAATAAGTAAGAGGTACGTGTATGTGTACCTAATAAGGATTTTCAATAATATGGATTTCCACGTTTTATAATCGACTGTTAATGCCCATTATTTCTATCAAGTACACTATCGCTGTATCTTTTTTCGAAAGGTAATATTAGAAAGAGATAAGTTACGACAACGTTATGTTATGCTTCCTATAGTAAAACAATAGATTGTGGTCACATGGTCACAAAGCCACATGACTTGCAGCAGAATCTTATTGGTCCAGTGTTTTTAGTTGTCTTGTGGTGTAGCCCATAGTGTGTCAAGACCACAAATATTTATAAGATTCGACAAATGATCGAAAACTCGATATCAAGTTTTCTATTAAAAAATAATTGGAACTGTTAGAACCATCAACAGAAAGTAATAGTATTTCGCATTTTCGAATATAATTCATGAGTTGAACGTGTTGAAACGGCCATGTAGTAAATCAACTGGGTTTGTTACCAGAATTCATTGTCTCGTTAGATAAAATATAAACTTTATCACTATCCTCCCCAGTCCTTCTCCTATATTCATCAATTGGACAAGTTTGGCACGTGATGTCGTGTAACTTGAATCTATAGGTGTGACTTGTCAGCTGATGCACCTTCAGGAATCGTTGCATTCGACACAATTGTTTTGTTAAATCTTATCCGTTATTCTTATTCCTTTCGTAGTAATGGCTCTTCATTCTGCTGGAAAGGGCAAGCTTCTTGCAGTGATTGGAGATGAGGTAGATAAATTGTATATCAAATTACGTTTTACATTCGATGATTATTTATAATAGTATCATTTTAGGATACTTGTGTTGGATTCCTCTTGGGCGGAGTTGGCGAGATTAATAAACATCGTCAACCCAACTTTATGGTTGTAGATAAAAGTATGCACTGTTACATTTTATTTTATATAAAATTTTATTTAATCTTAATATCACAGTGTGTAAAATCATACCTGTATTACTTACAGATACAGCAGTAAGTGACATAGAAGATACATTTAAACGATTTATTAAACGAGATGATATTGATATTATACTTATCAACCAAAACGTAAGTTTTGCATGTATGTTACAATAATTATAATGTGTTACATTGCTCTATTTCGTTATTAAATAAACATTTTTGAAAGTTAACACTTTTCTAAGTTAACATTTTATGTACTTATTTCAGGTTGCAGAAATGATTCGTCATGTAATTGATAGTCATACGCAACCTATACCATCAGTCTTAGAAATTCCCAGTAAAGATCATCCATATGATGCCAGTAAAGACTCCATTCTAAGACGTGCCAAGGTAAGATTACATTTATAATGTAAATTATTAATTGGTATTTTACCATTAACACATTCAGGATTGATGACAACCTATGAGTGTGGTTCAGAATAAAATTTAAGAAATGTTGGTGACTCCTGAAGGGAGGTACCTGAATGTGTTAAATGCATATTAGAAATATTTATTGTATTTAAATCACTTGTTAGTTACTATTAACAAGTATTTTTATTAAGAAGAAGTAATTTGTTAACTAGTCTTTCTAATTTTACTTTGCAGGGAATGTTTAATCCAGAAGATATACACTAATCCATGTACATAAAATGTTGAGCCATATAAAAATATAAAAATGTATGACTTGTATGGCACTTATTAATCTCTGTATCTAATGTTACTGTGTTGTTATAGTTCACTTGTAAAAAATAGAAATATGTACAACATTCCACTATTTATTTTACATTTCAATATTTTACTTAATATTTCTTGTAAAATATGTGTATAAATTTTATCCTATGCAAATAGGTTGTATCGCTTATATCAACTTTAACTCATTCAGAATGAATAGTATACATTTATATTTGGCACCCAATTTAAATGTATTAAGTTTATACTGAGTGGCTTAAAAAACATATTCTATGTCATTGTTACATACACAAAATTTAATTGCATAAATAAATACATATGTTATAAATATCATAAAAGTCAGTAGATTTTATTCATTGTTACAGAACAATATAAATAATTCCAATGAAAAATACATGGTACATGGAAAATCAATATTGACAAAATTGAACAATGCATTTTTATAATTAGAAATAATGAACTCCATTCTCATTTTATTTGTTTTTATCGATTCATTTGTTCCAGTTACCTCATCGTAATAAACGTAAAATTTTAATTGTGTTTTCAATTACGTGTTCAAGTTGCATCAAAAATTATTATTTTATTACAATTTTAAATATGAAAATTAGAATTACAATTAATAATATTCATATTTATATTTATTTGTACTTGTTGAAACATTTGATTTGAAGTAACTATACAAATTTATTTTGCATTAATACGTAATATTATGTAAATGTAATGTACATTATTTACATCACAGAAGTTATAATCAATACTATCATATATTATTTTTTGAAATACGCAACATTAAGAATATAATCAAAATAATGAAGAATTAATACTACATATATGTAAAAGTTTTTGAACAAAGATACTTAATTTTTAAGGTTACTGTTTTATTTTTTAATATATTTTTAGTAAAGTAAGATGTATAAAATAGAAAATATATTAATACTTACAAGAATAGATTTTCATCTCTAAGTATCACACGCGTTTATTATGATATTCTCACAAAGAGGAACACGATTATTAGAAGTAATATGTAAACAATCACACTATGTACAACCAAAATACTTTTCCAACTTTCAAAAATAAATTATAATACATAATAATAATAAATGATTTGTGTAAGATACAGAGCAACCGTACTTATTTCATATGTACATTCTCTGTTTACAAAGAACACAATCTGTGGTACTTGTTAGCGATAGAGAGGTTACAATTACATACATGATTAGCATTAAAGCAATGTCATAAATTGTTTTCAGGTTTAATTATTTTCAAATTTATAATACTTGAATTTAGAAATCTTGTTCCTCCGTGGCAGACATAAATAATTTTTGAATAGCGTGAGTGATTTCAACTAAAACCGAAAGATTGTAAAATTGTTAAAGTATAAAAAATGCATAAATAAAACTAATCACATTACATATAAAATTAATTACATACGATTAATTTGTTGAAACCACATTGGTTTGTTTTTCCACTTGATACCAATAAAATAAGCTGGAATACCAGATAAAGTTATCAAGGCACCTATACCAACTTCGTATGGTCTTTCATAGCAAGGAACAAATACTAAAAATGCACATATAGCCACGAATGTGACAGGAATCCATAAGGGCATCTGTAAAATATATTAATTAAAATGTGTAATTTTCATTTTACAATAGCATTTAATAAAGTTACCTTAATTGGTCGATTCATGTTAGGTTGTTTATAACGAAGCCATAAAATACCAGCTACTGATAACATAATGAAAAATGACTCAACTATGCTGCAGTACGTAATTAACACAAGAATATCACTTGTACACAACATTATTAAAGATAAAATGCACTGTAAACAAAAAAAGTTTATGTACTTATTAACATCAATTTAGAAGTTTTAAACGTACAATAGATTGTGTACTTTCATTATACATACAAGGAATACTAAAGCAGGAGTAGGTGTGAATCTTGAAATGTTGATGTGACTTAACATTGAAGGAAAGTGACCATTTCTAGCACCAACGAAACACATTCGAGATGATGTCATGATGTGAACGCTCAATCCTCCAAATGCTGATATAGCTACCATTACAGGTATTATCCATGCCACCATGCCAAGAACTTCGGCACCAAAATTCTAAAAAAATATATGTAGCACTTATTTTGTATAGGATATATATATATTATTACTGTCATTAAATACTTATACATACATAAAAAATAAAGACAGTAGTACTCACCACAGCTATCGCACGAGAAGCGATCATAGCAGTTGGAGTTAAAACTGATAAGTAAGCTACATTTGCCAGTACATAGACGAAAGTAACTAGAGGCAGCGATATATAAATAGCCCGTGGCAAATTTCTATAACATTAAATCATTTATTTAATATTGAAAAATAAAAGGATGTCATAATTTCATACGAATTTATATTACATACACATAAGGGTCTTTCAATTCTTCTGTCATAAAATTTAAATAATTCCATCCAGAGTATGAAAATATACCAGAATAGAAGGCCACAGCAATTTTACCAGGATCAGTAATTGTATTTTCAAAAGAATTTTCAAAATTTTCTGTATGACCTATACCAAATCAATACATACATAATTAATAAGTAATGATTTAGCTACTAGTTATACAAATTATACTTACCTAGTAGTAGCCAAACCATTCCCGCAATAATTATAATTACTAATGCACCAACTTTAGCAAACATGAATACATTTTGCATTTTTGATGTTTCTTTGACATCATAACAGTTTGCAAATGTAAGTAAACCTATTCAAAAGTCATAGCCATAATTATCCTTGATCTAATATTACGAATAAAGAATCCATATAATTTTATATATATGAAAAATGTCTTACAAATAGTAACTGCTGCTATTAATCGTATACCATCATCTGGAATAATACAGTTTGGAAAGAATGGCTGTAAAACATATTCTGCAAATGTTAATCCCATAATAGCATTTGTAGTTGGTCTGCAAAGGGCATAATATTATTGTAATTATTCTCTACTTACTGCAAACAACATTCATTTATTCATTGAGAAGTAACTTACACAAATATTAAGTTAGCAGCCCATAAGTATAAAAAAGCAGGTAATCCTCCAAAAGCTTCATAAATATAAGCATAATCTCCACCACTACGAGGTATAGAAGTTCCCAATTCAGCATAGCATAATGCACCAATCATAGAAAGTAGACCACATAATACCCACACAATTAAAGATACCCCAACACTTCCTACTTCTTTAATTACACCTTTTGGAGAAATAAAAATACCTAAACAAGGATAATAGATAGTTTGATTATTTTAGGCATACAGTTAAAGTATAGCATCATTTATACATGGAAAACTCATCTCACTGACAATTAATCTATTAATTAATTATTCTTGAGGAAATATATTTTACAAATCTATAATTAAATGGCATATGTACCTCATAAATTCTAAAATTAAAAATGATCAGAAAAAGTTTACCTGAACCACATATAATTCCTAAAATAATTGCAACACCTTCTAAAAGACCAAGTTGTTTTTTCATTTGTACTTTCCCATCGCCACGAACTTCTTTCTGACTCATTTCCTCATTATCCGAATTTATTAACTGCATTTCTTTAGGAGATTCATCAAATATTTGGGAAACCATCTGGTTTAAATAAAATGAACATAGAAATTATTGTACTGATTATAATAGATGATGCAAGAATGACAAAGAATACTATTATACTAAATTGCCAACAAATTTTAGGAAATAAAATGTATGAATGACTTTACTTAGAAGGATTTACCAATTGTTGATATAAAAAATGGTTTTTCATTTACAATACTTGATATTATTAGTTTTATAAAGAAATCTTACATACCTTTAAGGAAGACAAATTATTGAAGATGAATTGTAATACTGATTGCTTTTTGGTACAAGAAAATAAGAATATAAATTAACGTATAATAGAAAATTCAGACGTGCAAGTATTATCTATGTATATCAATCGTTTGCATTCCTTCCTGAATGTAGAATACCATCTAAAAATGAGAATGCCTCAGTACTATTTTAAAACATGAAATAGACTTTATTTCAATGTAATTATAATTTATTACGATACCTGAATGATTTAAATAACTAGATAAATGATGATTCTCTCCTTTAGTCGCACAATTCTATTTTAAATAGTCTAATTTAAGTGTAAAACAGATCTAGGTTATACATGTGAGAACACACGTGCGTTAAGATAATTTAAGGGTTGGTTTGCACTGTCTTACGATAAGGGGGTTCAACTTTTGAAATTACGAAAATTAACTGTTAAAAAGTCAATGTTTAGTTAATATAATTGATATATTTATTAATATCAATTATATTTTTCGAATAAATAATACACATTTTAATAAAAACTAAATATGATGTAATTTTAATTTTACATACATAATACTGATGAATGCTTTTAGTTTATTGTACGAATTTGTTCCTTAGGTATCAATTCTATTGTAGATTATAATGCGAATGTATTTTATAATGTGATAAGAATATTTGCATCTGTAATATTGTGAATATAGGTCGAGCATTTAGTCAATTTATTAGATATGTAAATAGGCATAGGTATGATTATTTCAAACTTATTTTTGTGTTGTTAAATGTCATAATACTGGAGGTGTAGCGTTTTGTGAAACTGTGAGATTATTAGTATTTCCAAAAATTAAGCAGAATATAATAAACTCGATTTTAGTCGATCCAACGAAAAAAAAGAGACTCTAGTAATATAACTATGATCTTTGCGAAAGAATTTCATTGGTTCTCTGTGCTCCTGCCTAAGAATATACCGTAAGTTTGACGCATGGGAGTTAGTAAATAGAAACGTGAAAATACTATCTATATATATATCACGTATTGGTCTATAATTAAATGCAGCACTAGAAGAATACTTTGACAAGAAACAACATTATGCTAATAGCAACATTTTTTAATCACAATTCCTATAGATTTTAAAAAATTTTAAATCACAGGAGCTGCATATGGTTAGGGGCTATTGTAATTGATGTAAATAACCATCGGATGCTTAAACAGAGCTCGACAGAAGGAATTGATTATTCGATTTTTATATTTCCTTAAAAGGTTGAGTTGTTGTTTAAATTGTTCAATCATACTTCATTGTATTTCTTTAAAATTAAGAATAAACTTTATAGTAGTACTACAAGTGCGGCATTGGATAAATTATATAAGTGTTTGTGCACTATACACATTTCGACGTAACTCCAATTAATTAATTAAGAAAAACTTATGCACTATCAACAATTTTTAATTGCATTTCGAACTTGTATATAAGAAATGGAATAATTTTATACAAAAAATTTTTAAAAATAATTCGTAGCACATATTATGATTTACAATTGTTTGATTAATTAACTCATATAGATGAAGGAATACAGGTTATAGGTAACATATTTTTCTTACATCATGCTGTTTAAAATTCAGAATGTAAATCATATGCAAATATAATGCATAGTCGGTAATTCGACTGTGTTTTCACTACAAACTTGAGCGTTTTGTCGCCGAGGGCGCTAGTAATAGTTTTCAAAATTAGTTATACCTGTTCACCGCTAGACGTCTATATAATTCACTATTTTAAAGTTCGAAAAGTTCGTATTTAAATATGCAATCGATAGAAATATAAAAAAATGAAACAGAGTTATAAGAAATAACACTTAATGATGAATATAAATATGATAGAATAACTGGGGGAGGGGGAGGGGGGGGGGTGACAAAAAATCATACATTAGGCGTAGAAATTAATTCTGTGTCTTCATATTCAATCATTTATAACTAGACTACAGATTTTTGTATGCATTTATTAAAAATGTGAACGTGATAGAAACTACAAAATGTACACAGTATGCAATAATATAAAAAAATATTGAAAGTAAATTTCATATTATAATATTTGCAGAGTAAAATAAATTTCTATTTAGGTTCAATTTTTGTACATGCACGTTTGCAAAGATTCTATTTTACATGAAGATCCGCAATCTATTTATAACTGTAGTTTAAATGAACACATTTACCCTCCATTTTGTTACGTTAATAAATAATAATACATGCAGAGTGTTTCAAATGTTTCATTTAGTTTTTCAGGAGAGTCGTAGTAATAGATTAACGGAAACATTAATATTTCAGCAAAATAATATTCACAATTATTGTTTAAACAGTAACCGCTGTTAATAATTAATTTACCTATTACCAGAAATTAATTCTTAGTGATCCGAATCAATATGTACCAAAATATAGAGAAATCGAGAATCTCATTCACGATATCAACCATTCAGAATGATCTATGAACCGTGTAAAGGTCGATTCAGACTATACGACACGGACCGTCACGTTCCGGCAACGACACGTACCGGTACCGACACGACAAAACATTAAAACACGCGTTTTAATGGAACTATTTACACTATTCCCGTTGACGGAACGTTCAGGTCGGTGTCTGTTAAGTGTGATGTAGTTCCATTAAAACGGGTGTTTTAATGTTTTGTCGTGTCGGTGCCGGTACGTGTCGTATAGTCTGAATCGACCTTAAGGAAGTTTTGTCGAAATTTGTCTCGATTACGATACCCTTCTGTCTTTCAGAGTTGAGACAGTGAAAAGAAAATCGATTTTTTGATTTGAAAATGCTAGTCTGGCCCCTCGAGCGGGGTGAACCGCGGTCGTTGTGGCGACTTCCGTAGTTTCCTACATCTTTATCAGAGAGTACAAACGAGATCGTTCTTTTGGTGACCAGAGTGGCCTTTGTACATGCGCGTGTAAATATTAGCGGAGGATGATGAAGGCCTCCCGCCATTTCCTCTTTCATTCTCCTTTCTCTTTTCACGTCACCGTACCCGTCATTGACCATCCTCGACACTTCAGCCTATACATTCTAGCTGCCGTCGCGACGTCGTTGTGAAGACCCCTTTTTACCTGCAGGTTTTGAACCACCTACTACTTTTAAACATTACCGAATACCTGCTCGCTGATATTACCTTTATTCAAACGGGGGGCTAGATCCCTTCGCGCTGCCGCGCCAAGTTTTCAGTATGCTCGAGAAGTGGATCGTTTTTTAACCGTATCGCTCGAGGCGTTCCGCGCTGGCTCTAGAAGGAGTGAAGCTGTTGTCGAGGATTTTTTAGTTACGATTTATCGAGAGAAAAATAAGGTAATTGTTACTTATGTGGAAATTCTTAATTAAGGGATTAGTCGCAGTCAGGAAAATGGAAACGGACAGTTTCTTGTGTGTTTTTTTTTAAGGTATTAAATAATAATTTTTATTAATGAAATGTAAATATATTACAAAGTATGTCTTAAAGAGCTGTAAAAGAATTTTTGTTTTAAAAAAAGGTTAATTCATTTCGTCATAACAGGCGATGCCGTGAGTGACCACTTAGTTTGCAGTGAGCAAGATTTCTTCAAACTGGTGCACCTGAAAACAAAACTAAAGGTAGATTTAGAAAATATATTAGACTAACGGGTCCCTGATGGAAGGATTTTTTATTTTCTTGTATACTTTTTTTTTTATTCTGTATTGAATCGCTTAATTTTAGTGAAAAATTTGAAAATCAACTTCAAATGTACGCTATCTTGTTTTAAATTAATTTTTTCCAAAATTCTTCGTTCAGGACCCGCTAGACTAATCTATTTTCGAAATCTACCTTTGTTTTTGTTTTCAGGTAAACCAGTGTAGAAAAATCTTGCTCACCGCAAACCTATGTTTTTAAATCATCGTCTACGTCATCGGCTGTTATGACGATATAAATTAAACGTTTCTTAAAACAAAAAGGTTTTTTAGTTCTTTAAAACATACTTTATAATATACTTAATTGTTACTTATGCAAATTATTATTCAATAACTAAAAAAAAAATCATAAAGAAATGTCGTTTTTCCTCTTCCTGACTGCGACTAACCCCTTAAGTGATTATCCCCTGGTTGAAGTTTTTTTTTTTTTTTAAGTTTTTGGTCAAGAGGATACCTTTTTATTTTGCAAGGAACGTGGTGGAATGCAGTTATGGGGCATTGGACATGCGTTTATAAATATTTCAAGAACGCACATCCATTCATTTTGAATGAAAATAAATGATATGGTTACGAGAAAATCACGCTCGAGCTTTAAAATGCAATTTTTAAAAAGTGTCTGTATTTATTTATAACGGAGAAATATGATGTTAATCCCAGCCATGCAGAGATGAGCATGATACGTACATTGCCAGCAATAACTCCGACGCTACGCGTGTAAAAGAAGATATCACAGCATTCCATCACGTTTTTCTAGTTCAACGTAACTTTTTAATACGTTAAGTATTCCTCCATGTTTAGATATCGAGTTTCTTACTTTTAAAATGGTCCGAAAAAGGAAAGTACGAGAATTGAAATATCATATTGGTTTCTTACAAGCTATTGAAACAATTCATTTTAAATATCGTTTCGGTAGAATTTAAGGGAGAATTCTTTAGGAGAACACAAAGCAAAGGGGCAAATCAACCGCGTTGTTCGTGACGCTACGTTGGCTCGCCGTTATATCCTGTGGCACGGTGTTAATTTTGGACTGTACTTGATCACACATCCTCGTCAAAGCAGAAGATTGGGATCACCGATAGAGCTTTGCATGCGCTGACCTACTGGTGTTGCACAGTTTCCAGCATGTCGTGTATCTCCGAAAGCTGTTCGCTGATCGACACGATCAAGCCGCACGATGATGTAAACTCGTACAATTAGTCGGACTCCATTATAAGTCGAAACGCGAATTCGTGCAAACCGTAGCCCGGCTGTTCCGCCAACACTTTCAAAACATCCACGAGCAGATAACGAAGATCGAATTATGCCGGACCCTTTGTCTACTATAATCGAATATTCATTTTTAATTATGGGTACATGTAACGTTAAGTTTTGAAATATCAGGTATTACAATATGGTGATTGGTAAAGAATGCAAATATAACTTGGAATTCATAAAATAGTTATCAGTTTAATTTACTTTAGAAGTAACATTTAATAATATTTTGGGATATTAAATAAATTATTAATCAAATATATTTTCTAATGCAATACAAAGTAAATACTTTGTTACGGTAGGAGGTGTACACATGTTGATCTATTCGGTTTCAAATTCTCGTCTGTTCAAAATTAATGTTTGTTTTTTGTGTGTTGTATTCTAAAAATACTTTATTATGAAGGGAATATAATTATAATTTAAAAGAGAATTCTATAATATTAATGTTTAGTCCAGTAAGAAATTTAATTGTTATGGTGTATGCATAATCTCAACCGAACATCATTTATGTTGAAAATTAAATAAGATAACAATTTAATAGGTGATACAACATAACGTAACACATAGTATTATTAAACACTATGTGTTATAGATATTATAAATACAATTTCTGGAAAAACAAAAAAAATAACAATTACAAGGTTCACACATCACCTCAATTTTTTTTGACAGAACTTATTTTTTGTACGCCTAATCTGATATACTACAAGCAAACTTCCTTACAAATACTATTAGAAGCCAATTACATAGTTTTGATTTCTCGGTTCCACCCTATCAAACCGTCGTCGTCTACCGATCTAAATGACATTCCTAAACAAATCTCTCCTTCCCGATTTCATTAAAAGAGAAATAACATTGCGTTCAGGTACCACCGCAAAGAATTTAATTATATCGCGTATCCCAAGAAGAATCGCGACGGAAGAAGAAGTGACGCGAATTCTTCGAGGTTGGCGGCGAACAATCAGCCGTCATCCATACAATCGTGAGATTACCGTCGTTAGGAATCACTATGAATCGTTCACGTATCGTTGTTACAATCGAGTGACTCATTGTTAATTGATACACCTAACCGACGTCGCTGGTTCCTGGGCGATTATGGAGAAAACTAGGTGAATTGATAACAACGCCACGGAGAAACGATTCATCCCCCTTACGCGGACGTCGAAGGGCACCGAACACCGCTGCGCAAGCGTCTCCTGAAACGAGGTTGGCGACGCTCTACAGCGTCGCGACGCTCACGGCGCTCACTTGAATTCTCGCCGCGTGTCCGTCGGCCGACTCGCCGTCGAACCGCATCCGGGACGGATTTTTGAACGCGACGGAACCGGAAGTCGCGCGCTTCCGCCCGTGTCCTTCTCACGAACAAGATCGATATGTCTTTTTAGATACCGAGGGACAAAATTCCTCGGCCACGAACCTTTTATTTTGATGATGCTATCCTCGGCTTGACACTTGCTCGAGTTATGTGGTGCGCGAGTGAAAAGAAAAGACAGTGGGGAACACTTAGCGATTGACAGGGACTATCGAGCTCACGTCCTCCTGGCTTCATGCGAGGGCCTCAAGGACACGATCGATGAACGATCAGCTTCATGATCGACGTCCTTAATTAGGTGATCGGTGGATTCGACAATCGTCGACGAAGGTGACGAGGTTAGCGATTAGGAGCGAAATGGGCAAGTCTCTGGGAAGATGAGGCTACCGTAAGAGGATCTAGGTGTATATACGTGTCGTCGTTGATCGACGCTAGTGATCCAAAGTTCCGCGGTATTCAGAACTTCTCTAGTTAGCAGGTTCTTGACACGTTGGAGAAGAGGGGTACGATGTATGGGGGAAAGTTGAAGGGATGAACTTAACGGAAGTGTGCTACAATCGGTTCGATAGTACTCGATCCAAATGACATTCGTTTAAGGAACCTCGGATTTGTTAGATGTTTAGAGAACTCTCTTTGTTCCGATGAATAGTACGTTGTTCTTCTTCGGATGAGTTTCACGCGATGGTATTATTCGTGGATCGTTGAATCACGTGATTGCTATATACCGATCGCAGAACTTGGAAGAACTAGAAGATGAAGCTAAGAACTTGAGAAGGCGTGACGGAGTGCTATAGCGAGAACCCGAAGTTCCGTGAATTTACGTACACACTTCATCGTGGTCCTCACGAAGGATACGCAAGGTCAGTTGCCGATTATTCAATTTTTCCATTTTCCTCGCTTTTTGAACGATGTTTGCTTCTCGCGCAAAATTCTTCTTTATTTTAGCTTTGAGCCTTCTGGAGAACTTTTTTCATTGTAATTGAGTTCCTGAGTGGAAACTATTAAATGTGTACAAATTTGAGCAAGATTACTTCCTTAAGAGCTCAGATATTTAAATTTACTTATTGGAAATACAGAAATATTTTTTGTATAATTTAGATTTAACGAATACTATATTTCACATATTATTTTCCTTTTTGGATATCAGATGGATTTATCCAATACTCTATCAATTCTCTATAAATATAAAATTCAAAACAATATAATAAAACTCACCTATTAACTTGTTATTTTATTTAATTTTCCACATAAATGGTACTTGATTGAGGCTATGCACACAGCCTCACAGTGGATTTTCTTACTGGCCAAGAAATTTATTTAACAAGCCTTATTTTTCAGTAAGAAATAAAGTTAACGGACTATGGACTTATGGACTGAATTTCAAAAATACACTTCTTCCTCTGAAACTACGAATGCAAGTACCGATGCACGGTTTCGCTTTAATGCTATGCGTGCGGGATAAGATCGATCGATTATCGAAAAAATTACACATACATTCCAACGACCATGCTTTGTTAAACAAAATGTAAAGCTGACCGCAATTCCCGTGGAAATAGAAATGCGTACACCGCGGTTCTTTTTCTGGACGAAAGTATGATAGCTTATTCAGATTCAAAAATCGTTGACCGCATACTATGGAAACCAGGTAAAAATTCTGATTGTCAGTGGTGTTAACCGCGACGTGAACGGACTCCAGACTCATTTATTCCGCTCAACCAGGCGATACTGAGCCCATGACTGACGGGACTGTGTTAGGTAGGAGAAACGTTGTTGGAGAAAAAGAACACTGTGGCGGCATTTGACTGCGTTACACCTGTGTATGCATGAATTTTGGCTTATTTTAGATAGGAAAAATTGAATTATGGTCAAACGAACGACTCTGCAGCTTTTAACGACAAAGTTTGCCAGAAACATGGTTAAACCTTGTACAAAGATTTATGTGTAATATTAAAGGTACTTATTTTATGATAAATCATTTTGAATTACCTGGTCCTGCCTAAACTGTGATTGAAATTTGTATAACTATACAAATATTAATTAAAAAATATATTTACTAATTTTAAACAGTAGATATTTTGTATTTATTATTAAGAGTATTAATATTTCGTAATACTTATATTAGTAGGTAATGGAAAGGAATATGAAAAAGTAGTTTGCAAATGTGACGAAATGTATTAAATAAAAAAAATAGCTTGTCTAAGACTTAAGATTAATCATCATTTTAATATTTTTTCTGTTCATTTCTTAGAAAAGTAGACGAGTGCATTGAATATATTTATAACGGTGAAAACAAGTGTATGATTTCGATTTCCATAACGTAAAAGTCTGGAAGGCCGGTATTGTTTTATATTCGTTTTTCCTGTAAAAAAGCTTCAGTACGTGCATTCATTCGTTTACGTATTGTGTTAACTGGAATTCCAAAACAGAGTTCCTGTTCGTTCAAAAAATTTAATTACTGCGTCGAAATTTCAGGATTAGTTGATATGAAACGCAAAAGGATTCTGGTACGTGCGTTCTGTGCTAGGTTTCCAAAGGACAATCGATAAATATCGATTAGTCTGTTCTTCGTGTATGGAGAAACCTCTACTTGTATGTATTATCCTGTCATGGCACTTCGCTCAATGGACGATAGGGTTCATTATTTCAAGCAGGAGGAATAGAAGTTAACATACAGAATTGTAGGGAATAAATTTTAATATATTTCATCAAAATATTATTAGTTGAATATTTCACAGAAAATATTGTATATTAATCAAGCATACAACATTTGTATTAAGCAGCAGATTCAGTATTATATTACCACGTGTAAAATTATTCATATTTTAATTTGAGTAATTGTTAATGTTGCATTATAATTGTACATATTATTATGTCTGTTTAAATATTTAATAATTACAGATATTATTAGATATCCCTTTGTACTTCGAATACAGAATTTCTGTTAATTTTGTATTTTCAGTTAATTTAAGTTCTAATTAACCATTCTTTGTTGTAATTCAAGTAGATGTTCACTGAGATACAAATATTATATGAAAGTATGCAATGGTTTTATTAAAAATTCATGCTTGCCAAGTAACGTAAAGTGACCGTAAAAGATTGAAAACTGAGTGAAATTAAAAAATGTTTAAGCCCAGTTGTAACGTTTGATACGTCGCAGTGGCGTGCATTTAATCGATAATCTGAACAAATAGTCGATGAGCAATTAAATTACGTGTCCATACATTCGTATTACCATTCTGATAAAATCATTAGTAATCAAAGTGAAACAAGGCGGAACAAAATACAGTTGATTTTGTAAATTCCACCTTCACCGAAACTGCATTTCATGTTTAAACAACAGACGTTGTTAGACGTTGACAACAAAAGTGTGTCGCGAGTTTTGCTAGAATTCCTCGCATTACCTTCAAACAGATTAATATTGATTTACTTAGTGACGACGTTGATAATTAAAATTAGTTTGAACAATTCTACAGCAGTTGTGTTTCTTTTTAAAGATTTTTACGTTAAAATTAATTCTGTTTGTTCTGAAATTATTTAAAGAAGAGACATTTATTTATCGCAGACGTTGAAGGTAGTACTCGGTTACTTTAAATTTATTTCAAAGATAAATATATATTGTTTCTCTCAACTGTCAGATGATATATCGAAAAAATAATTGAACTGTTCTGTGAGAAATTGCTGTTGTAAAATGTAGCCCTGGGATGTGTAGTTTATCGAGAGTTCCAGTCGAGTCTGCTTAACGCACATGGGAAGCATTAAAAAAAAAAAGGAAACTCTAGATAAATAATTATGACTACTATAATATATCACGAAGCACGACGAAGCACGACGAGGCACATTTCGCGAAAGAGTTGATAAAGAGCACGAGACCCCGCAAGTACACGCCACCCTTCGTGAATTGCGTTCAACCTAATACGGGAAAACCGTCACGAACATCTTGAGTAATAAGTATCAAGCCCGTGTTTCGCTCTTGAAACGTTTTCGACCTCCTTCAAATAATTCTATTTGTTTTAATTCTTCCAATACGTCACCACACGTTTCTTTAAAATTTTTTTTGCATGCCCACAACAGTTTCTTTTCATCACTTGTTTCATTTTGTAATTAACCGTCGCACACATGTAACGTTCTTAAATAAAATATAAATAAATACAAGTTTCGAGAACGTAACGTGTTTTTGAAATTTAATTGAAAATTGAAGAAAAAGACGAAAATAAATCGTTGTATACATAAGATATATAATTTAAGTACGTGATATACAATGTATTTAGTGAAAATTGTTTCTGTGTAATTGTTTACATTTGTTCCAACGATTAATTAGCTTTGGTTTTGAATTATGCAAGCATCAGAATTTCTATAGGTCATTTTCATTTTATGCATACTTTATTTCGAATCAATTTGTTCTGCAAAAATGATCATATACCATACAAAATTGTAAACCCTTCAAGAATTAATTACTTTTAGAATTTGTTTGATATATATTTCGTCACGGGTGATTTTTTTTTAACATTTTCACAGCTGAGTTAATCGTGGGTAAGAAATCGCCTCTCTGAAGAATTAATTACGCAATTTATTTTTCAATAATTACTTTCTAACTAAAACTATATGTTAAAGTTAAAGAAAAAACTAAAAGAACTTGGGAATTATCCACAAAAGCAAAAAATGTTATTACATTTGATAGTTTCTTTAGTTTAACGATTTACGATAATGCTAACGTAGCGTTGTAATGATTAAAATACGAATTTGATATAGACTGGTCTAGAATCCGACGTGGAGAGAAGGAATATACACGGAATATACAAACAAATAGAAATGGGAGAATAACATATCTTCGTACGAGGTTTCATTTTCGAGAAAATCGATGCTTAACGTACGTCGAGTGCGATTGAGTACGACTTGGCTAATGTGTCCGTCCATTATTCATTGTTTCTACTTGTGTTTGTAAACATTGACAGTGGCGTGGTATTGTCCGTTTTTTTTTTATCTGTCATGAACTAGTTAGAAGATTGTAAGATCGACGGGAAATAGTTAATACCACACTGCCCTCAAGGTTTACAAGTGGCAACGCAAGTAGAAATAGTGAGTAATGGTCAGACACGTTAGCTAACATTAAAAATCAATTTTCTAGAGCAGGTAGCCTTCTGAGAAAAAAATTTCACTGGACAATTCCAATTTATTTTTGCACGACAAATCACCCCTTTTTCGATTGTACCACGAATATTGAGCCATTATATGTTTCTCTGAAATAATTGGCTTCCGCAATCGGTTTCATGTTTCGATCGTTCTACTGTTCACGTTATATTGTTTACCAACATTTGCCAAGTAATAAATAATAATCAATCTTTTGAGAAATTAAACTGTTTTACGCAAAATTAAATTCTCTTTAAGATTTGTTTGAAACATTTTTATAAATAATGGATATGTATGGCACATTATATATGGGAAAGGGTAAATTAATATATAGATGTAAAAATAAGTATTCATTTAACAAAGACGAGGTACATGTTGGACTAACAACATACTAACATTGTACATTTTTAAAGCTCAATAGAATAAATGAATAATCTTCAACTACATAGTACCTTCTTCGTCAGTTTCTGAGCGTGAGGTGTTTCAAGAGCACTTTATGGTATCTGAACGATCTCGTTTCGAGATCTCCTATAACGGGTGAGTGTTGAAAACCTACCCTTCATATTTGGCGATTTGTACCCTCAAGGGGTGTCGTTTCACGCTGTTGGAATGTGTCTCGAGTATACCCAGCTGTATTTCTCCCATCAAGTACACGCGAGCTGTCTCTGAAATCGCGAAGGCACGTAGCCTTCCCAGTCACGGGGTAGTTTGTGATGTCATTCACAGCCAACGA